TGTGCCGTATTTACTAGGGTTCGGCCCTCTACCCGATTTTTACATTTCACCTTTCTACGTCACTGACAGTGACACTAGACGTGGCATACTGACTTGGCTGTGTACAGGGATACTCGAGTCAGAGACGAGACTTTTGTTCGTCGTCTTTATTCACGCCTCGGAAGAAATAGCACATATGTTATGGCACACCTCTTTTGCCTGTGGTTCTATCGAGTAAGTTCTCAGGATTGGTGCATTTGTCTGAACACGGTAATCTTCTGCAGTATTGCTTGGAAAATATCATAGGCTTCATAGTTCTGGATCCCCCTGTGGTGCATAGTGGACTCGACTCCCACAATGGCGCCGCTTAACAAGACATCGACTTGGGTAGGCTGAACAAGGATGCCTTCGCTTCGTGATAGACAACAAGGCATTCTGCGTGAAAGTGGTACTTCAATCCGTCAAAAATTTAGGCAAACTCATGAGGAATCCCCTAGTTCTTTATTTCTTCCGTGCATCCTGGTCGCGTTGTCAGCAGCTTATCTGTGAAGCAAATAAAGTCATTCAATGCCAGAGGTGTGTACACCTTGGCGTAGTATAAAGCCCAGTTCGGGATGACTGATTACGAAAATAGTCGTGTGACCACAGAATTGAACATTAGCTCGACTCGGAGGAGCAAGATGATGTTTTATCCAAATCCGTATGCATACATTCCTCTTATTACGGTTCCGCGAACCTTCGTGATTTGTTGCGAGCTGAATACGGCACACTCCTTGCAATGTGCCTTTTCATAATACCAAGCGTTCCTTGTTGCACATCCTGATAGCCTATGCAGGGACCTCCCCGATGCTCACGGGAAAGATGGGCCGCTGAAGAACGTTCACAGGCGCACATCAAGCGGCATTCACCGTTCTCCACATGACTTGCCGTCTTTCTCACAAGAGAGAAAGACGCCACCAGATGCCGATGTTGTCCAAATCACTGGTCAGCGATGACTACAATCGTGCAGATGACTGACCAAACATCGTATTGAGTCTTTTGGCTTGCTGGGAAAGATCATCCATGAATGGTATGTCTTCAAGTAGAGTATACTACATCTTGTTGATCAACAGTCCGTCAATCAAGCAAAGTTCACATCAGTCCAAGGAAAATAAATCGATCAGATGGCCCGTGGAAGTGCTATTATTGGCTGTCACCAATTTGCACACGCCTCATCTTGTGCAGTCACAGAATGGACATATGGGCTGATTTCCGAATCTCAGTCCGCCCGAAGGGCACACCTGTGCAATGTATATTCAAGCTCCGAAGGGCCGCTTCATGCTACCAAAAAGCCTTTGTCGCGGTCTCGAGCCATCTCTTGTCAGATGGCATTCATTCAAGCTCATTATAAGGGCATTCTAGAGCATTATGATTTAGTAGCTTTAAGGTTTGTTCCGGGCGATGTGCGTTGTGGTAGAATTAGTAGGTAAAGAATTGGATTATTACGGACTTTGAAAAATACTTGCAAAGATAAGCCGTAAATAAAATAATGTCGGTAAGGATCTACTACTACTGGTGCCGGTGGAATGGATGTTCTTCATGATGGAGAAGGCAGCTTGACTCGAGACCCGCAACCCTGGAGGATAGAGAGATTGGGATTGACTCGTACTCTGGCTAGTGGGTTTGCTGGCAAATGTTTAAAAATAAATTTTCACTAGGTAGCACAGGATTTGGTTCGTAGGTTGTTCCGGTACGTATTGGAATCACGGAGGAGCGATTGTCTTCCTTCTATGACTAGGGGAGACCAACATATTGGGAAGAGACGGGGACCTGATTGCTCTGGCGTTAGTGGCCCGAAACGTCGAATCACCATACTGGTAACGGGTGCCTCTTAGAGGGGTCATCGTTTTACTCAAATGAACAGCGGCTCTAAGGACTTCCTTATATAAGTCGTCTTTTTATTCTATTCTTTTCTATTCTTATTTGAGCATATGGATAGAGTAACCCATTATATTCAAGGGGGATTTGCAACTCACATCGAGATGTTTGATTGCGGCGGGTACCAAGCCCATTCCAAGCCCGAGTTGGCAAGCATTATTGGTGGTTTCAAGGCGGTGTATTTACTTTGAGATATACGACAAAAGATTACGAATACGAGGCGCTACCGTAGCAGTACATACAACCTCAACGAAACCCCACCAAAAGGTATAAACAACACTACACAAGATTAAAAAGATTTTGGTATAGATGAGTGCGAAGATATAACGATGAAATACTTGTACTAGAAAGGGTTTGAGTCATACTGACCGAGCACGGAGGAAAACACAAGATAGGTAGGTAATCGCGCTGCTAACAAACACCAATGTTCGTACCCCCCAATTACTAGGGATATAAAGCGAGAAAAGCTATGATTTTTATCCCCCCACGACAGTCACACTCTCATTCCAACGGCAGCGGAGGAGTATGGAGATGTAACTGGAGATTCCCTTCCTCGCTTTGATAGTGCTGGAGGGGTTGCCCCATTGGATGATGGGGATGACGAGTTTGATTGTATGCTGACGGATCGAGCAACGGTGGCGAAGGCAACCCCGTGTGGTTGGGATCGTGGACTGCGTGATGTGTCTGATAAGGGTGAAGATGCGAAGTTTCCTCTGTTAACGGAAAGTATGGCCCCTGCTGCTGCTGCTGCTGATGCCGATGATATGTCGTGCCGAAATTGTGGAGAAACTCGGCCTCCCCCGAGCGACGCCGCGCCTGCGCTATACGCTGCTGCTGGAATTGTTGGCGTCTGAGCTCCTGGGAGTAGTGAGTAGCTTGAGATGGGTGTTCTATCGACGAGTGTGAGGGATGATGCTGATGAGATGATTCCTGATGCGGTAGTCGGCCGTGAAGCCGTTCCTGTTGCACCGGGTAGAAATGATCGTAGTCCTGCATCTGCATCTGCGTCGTTGCAGAGTTCCAGGACGGTGAGCCTTCGAGATTGAGGGCGTGATTCTGACCCGTACTCGTACTCTCCAGGCCCTGAAAGCCCGCTGCTGGGTTCTCGACGTGAGACATCATCGTCTGGTCCCGGGTATGGTCGTTTGCGAGGGTTGTTTGGTGGTGAATATGCGAAAGGCCCACTAGATGAGACTGACTCGGCGAGCGCCGGTGGGTGGAAGGAAAACGGTGAGTCATATGACCCCCCTGTTGGAGATGCTGGTTCTGAATCGTATGGGATGCCCCCGTAGGAGGATGTGAGGGATGGCGCTGCCATGTCGCCGCGTCCATAGACTGGAACGGATAGTTCTGTGACCAATCCAGGCCCTCCAGCGTAAGCAGGTTTTGTGGAGAGGATTGATGCGGGAGCTGTACCTGGGCGATTGGCTGTTGTAGGTCTTCGGAAGGGTAAGGGAAGTACGTGTTGTGCTGACTGAGGTGGGAGGGCGAATGATTGGGATGGTGGAGGGGGGATTGTCGCGGAGACGACGGCAGCGAGTGGCGGGAGCGTTCTAGCATGTGCGTCGGGACCCCCTGCAGTTGGTGGCCTGCTGCTGCTAGATCCGGGCCGACCATCCCGTTCCCTAGAGGGGAGACTGAAGTTGAATGTGTTGGTGGTGAAGGTCTGAAAGGACTGCGACTGTTGCTGCCATGAAGTAGAGGATGCGGGGGGGACACGAAAGGACTGGCTGGAGTCACGAAAGGAATGGTTGTTTGTAGGTCGAGGATTACCAGAACGATGATCCAAATCGGAATTCCAACCGTCACCGTAAATCATGTTGTCACCACCCTCGTAACCAGTGCTCGTACCGGGACGCTGGTGCATGGGGTGGAGAGAGGCAGACAAGTCCTCCTCCTTGACTTGATCGAGACCATGCATTGAACTATCTTGAGATCCTGAATGATTGCTTGAGGCGAGTACGGCAGCAGCATTAACGGAAGCTTGACCTCTCTTGCCTCTTGGCTGACCGGTTTTATTTGCGGCGGCCATAGAAGCATGAAGAGAGGTAAGTTCACGCATCATGCGCTCATTCTGCTCTTGCTTATCAGCGTGAACAGTTTGAGCATGCTGGCGTAAATTGTCGAGACGCGAGAATTGCTTGCTGCAGTGGCAAGTAAAAGGGCGCTCGCCAGTATGTTTCCTGATAGGAAATTAAAGAGATCGAACGGGGGTATGTGCCTCGGTACCTACCTAATGTGCCTGGCAAGATGCTCACTTCTACTGAAAACCATACGGCACTCGCCATAACCTCTGCATTGAAAAGTCTTTGCAGGAGCTGGACGATAGCGTTTATTGACGCCTTGTATGCCTGCTGAAGCAGATAAAATAGATGGATTGTTGGGCGCGACTAGGGCAGCCATGTCGGATGATGAACCTGTGGGAGAGAGTTCACCGTTGTCGTCGTAGTTATTATTTAATGATTGATTGAGATCGTGAATCTCTGAGGAACGAGAAGAGATTGAAAGTGAAGCAGGTGAAAGTTTTGAATCGACTTGAGTGTCGAGAGTTGAAGATTTTGAGTCCTCCATGAAGCGGGTTAGGAAAAGAGGAACAACCTTCTATAAAAAAGGTGCCTGATTGCAGACGCTGGAAAGAGTTAAGCCCAACACCTCAATTAAGGCACCGCAATCGTCGGACTTTTAAAAAAATCTATCCGTTAGTTTGGTTCAGGAACAACCCCGCCGAGCTACGGCACCGTTTTGCACTGATAACACACGTCACGCCGTAAAGGATGCCGTATATACTTTGACCCCCCCATAATAATAATTTATTATCGGAAGAAAGTACACGCTTTTTTCGCATCTTCCCTTTAACTCCTACTTCATGGCCAAGTCTAGACTCAAATAGCACCCGCGTCCGTTCCGAATATCAATGTGGCTGTGACCCTTCATCGATTGCCATCTTTTTCGTTGTCAACCCTTTTCCCAGTTTTTTTGCATTATAGGATTTACTCTTTCCATTTTATGTAGAAAACAAACCAATTCGTGGGATAAAATAGTATTTCCGGTTGCACTATTTTTCCGCCACTTCATCCACGGAATTTGAATTGGCATTTTTGTCTTTAGTTTGTCCGCATCAGTCCCGATGCGCTATCTGCGCTTTTTCCATTCACCTGTCAGACGACATCTGATCCGCTTTTTTTCAAACACAGTTTACTTACTCCGACATTCAAGGCGAATTGTGTTACTCCGCCAAATTCACCAAAGATAAACATGCGTAGGCCTAGGCATGCACGAGGTCACACGTGTACCATCAAATCCCAAATTTTTATTCATGCACGTACCCTCCCATCCCGTACTCCTCCATCCCCCATCAATACATCCTCTCAATCATAAACACAGCCTTCTGGCATAAATTTCTTTGTCCGAATCAGGGCCGAATAGTAATTAAACTTGCAAATTCCCAATCCGCACAATGCAGTACCCAAGCTCTGGCACCGATAATTACGGATTAAGCAGGGAATTACCCATACCCAAGACGGTCTAAGCCAACGGTCCAGACTCTCGAAGCCCATCCGATAACACTGCTTGCTAGGTGCGCCCAATATACGTCCCGCGCCTCGGGCAAGCACAGCTACGCTCATTCCGATCACCTAAATCTTCATTCCACATTCCGTTAGGCACATAGCCCAGGGACCTCCCCAAGGGGCTATGCAAATGCAAAGACTCTCGGAGACAACAAAGCCAACGATCGACGCTTACGAAAACCAAGTGCCTGGGCAATCAACATTACGTACTCTCAAAATAGAAGTTCAATACGCACAAGGTCGTCGCGATTAACCACACGGACAGCCTACTGAAATCCCACTCTACAAACCATATTTTTACAATATCGGATGGTTGCCCCCGCTCCCTCCGTCCATCATACATCCATTAAAAAAAACGTCTATTCATGTGAGACATACTGTCAAAGCTTATCACCATGCTGCGGTTGTGTCGTAAACATGCCCGAGACCCATCAGAATGACTGAAAAAATAACGAGCTGGGAACATAGACATCAGACCGTTTGCAAGAAAATGTCAAAACATACCCGAGTCCAACTCATGCTATGTATAGGCTTACAGGCGAACGTTTAGAGTCGAGAGCTCCAGCCGTGCGGAGCTGTACATAGCATCTCCCGCGACTATCGTAAAATCGAACGTCACCAATCATGACATCCGCGAATTTTTTTTCTTGCAAGCCACGCGTGAGTGACGAAAGTATCGCATACCATTCCCAGGTTGAGTTTGATTCTAAATGTGTGATATGTTCCACGGACTGCTGATTGATTGTGACGAATTTGTCTGCGGGGTGCAATTCGTGTATCCGCGATACATTGCGGAACATTCTCCGCATCTCGGACATGGCTATAGCCACATCAACCGGCCGTCCCTTGCTGAAGAACGCCGTCGACCTTTAGGATGTCTGGTGTACGATATTGTCTCTGTAAGAGACCTTGCACCGTCAGGGATACGTATGGCGTTGCTGTAATTTAATACATAACGCAGATCATGTATGTCACGGAAGGATCATTCTGGCGTCAAAAGAAGACACGATGTACCGCGCGCCGAGTGTGGGACAGAAACTATTGTTGACGCGTCCGGGAACAACAGAGACTAATAGCCATGTCCTGCATCTGGATCGATCCGTGTGATTGGGTATTGCATGCTAAAAGACAAGGCGTCTAGACTCTAGTGCCGGCGGAAGGGGGTGGTATGGTACGAACATACGGAAATTAACAATTGACATACCGTCCCGTCCCTGTCAAATAAATCGCAGACAGAAATGTGTCCGACGGAAGTGGTGTTTCGAGAAACCTGAAAATTCCCTAGAGTTCAACGAATGGGCTCAGAGTCTCAGACCTCGGTCTATGAAATGACAAATTACCTGAAAGTTGGTTTTCATTTTGAAATTCGAGACAGCCAAGTACAACTTTGATACACAAAGTGTCATCGGAAGGTTTTGAGCGCACGGCCATATGTGCCAAACGACCCGTTCACAGGCTGTCCCAATATTTCATCATCACATTTAGATGACTGCCTACGGCAGAAAAAAAAACTGCTCGGATTCTAAATCGTATGCTTGAATTCATCATGATAGGCGGTGGTAAATTTTCCGCGCCACTATGGCCTCATTAACCGCGTCCATTCGCATTGAAATGTCCAATGGACGACACAACAGTGCTTCTGTGGCTGGCATGGCCGCCATGGTCGTTAGTTTCCGGGCGGTAATGATGATGATGGTGGTGGCCTCCGTTGATTTGATTCGTTGCCTGAAAATCAGGAATTGTGCCCTGGTATCAGGAACTGTTCCAAAGTGAGCATTATGGGCTGGAAGCGCCAGAAAGTCCGTAATCGAAACTACCTTTCGTGCCTTCATCTCGCACCCATCGATATCGTGGCACGTCTGCAGACTATTTGACGCCAAGTCGATCACTTGTAGGTGGTGTATCAGCACTGTATCAACTGTAATTTGATAGCTCACATAAAATTTATGTCTTACAGACAACGTGCTCATTAATTTCCGCATAGAAGTCTTTTACTCGACTGGCCTTCGCATAATGCATTGAACGAAGGGGGGTTTCCTACTGCGGGGAGCCCGGCCTCACGCAGCCTTACGCCCGTGCCAATCTACACACATGGACCCTCCGTTCACAAAGGCCAGCTGCCAGCCAGTGTGTCTGATACGGAGGTACCATAGCACCGGTATGAGAGCCATTTGATAAAACTCGTCGGAGCATGAAAGAAATTTGCGGGCGTAAACGGAAGGCGCATTGGCCTATGTCGATGTCGCAATGGAGGCTTCCCACTGACAGATCATATATGTAGCACAGGTCTGGCTGCCAAGAGAATCTATCATCCCATATACCTTCAAAGGGCTAGTCGCGATGCACTGATGGCTTACCACGTATAAACAACTCTTTGCCACTACCGTGGCTGGTGTACCGTGTCGCCAAGAACATTGGTTGCAACCCGAACGTTTCACGCTGTTCGACATCGGCTATATGACTATAACCGGTCCGGCTGTCACAGAACGTTGACCGCGTCGCTCCAAGTCAAGCACCGAAAGATATGAGATGTGCGTGGACGAACACAAAGGAAATCATAGGCCTCAGACATTGGAGTCTGGAGTCTGGCTTTGGCGCTAATGCGCTCCATTATGATACGCGTGCAGGTTCGACGGAACTTCACGCCAAACATCAGGGTTTCCGTAATTGTTAAAGATCCGCGGCACTACTAGTACATAATTCCACCGTACGGTCATGACTTGCCGCTCATCGCAGTTCGAGGCGTTCTCCGAGGCCCTGCCCCACACATTCTCAGGTCTAACCGATATCAATCATAAGTAGCCGATCTTGCTCCGCTACTCGCTGCTACCCACGAATCACGGCCAGTCTTGAATTTGCAAGTTCGGTAGGTCGGTTCAGGTGTAGTTAATACGTCCTGATGCGACTTCCTAGTGCTTACTCAATGTTGCAGCACGCACGACATCAGCCTGGGCTGTGCATCATTAATTCCCCACCATTGGGACATTGCATGATATTATGTCAACAACTTGCTCTGTGAGGTATGTTATTGATGTAATACACCTTAGTACGTATCCTGACAGGCCGAAACCATGGTTCTTGGCATCGGTAGATGATCAGTCTCGTGCAAATACTGTCAATGAAGCTAGTGGTTGCTCGATGAATGTTTCAGCCTCTTCTGCGCGCAAAAGACAACTGAGACAACCCGGGCATCAATGTTTGACATTTATCAACGGCACATAGATACGTGATACCGATACCTTAGTGAGCTCTTTCTTCTGCTCGGGTGGCGTTTAGAGGGCCAGAGCTGGTAGACCCAGCAACACGGCGCACCACACAATGGAAAACTCGGATGTAGAGGTAATCATCATCTCGACGGAGAGATGTCGGCAAACAACTGTTCGAGTTATCTATCCCCTTCATGCTCATCTTCGCGATCACTGCCAGCGATGCATGTGGTGAAGGGTAGGTGGCGTCAGGTGGCGTCTTATTCGTGTGCTTTGATGCGAGTCCCAAACTGTCACAGGATGTCATGCGGCAATGCAGCTGGTTGGCTTAGACACCAAGGAAATGGCCGTGATGGGAACACCACCTAAATCGTACCTTCAGAAGAATGACTAAAGCGGATCGCTTGATATCACAACATTCTGTTCACCCGATATGAATCAACTGCTGTAATCTTTGCGTTCTTATTACTTTCTTGCTTTCTCCTTTGTTCTACGCGGGGTAAGAGTGAGAACATTCAATCCGGAGCTAAGCTTGTCCAAATATAGCAGGGACAATTGCTCCATCAAAGTTCCGGAAGCTGGCTTATGAACAACCAACATCTAGCGATATGACCATTAAGGCGGTACAATCCGAGAATTTGTGGACGGAAACACCCTTAGTGTATTCCAGCCATATATCTGATATTATCGGATGTTCTGCATACCTAAAGTTGGAGGTGCGATATAGATTTGGACCACGTGCGACTTATCAAACAGGCGTACGTACAGAATCTGCAACCTTCTCAATCATTCAAATACAGAGGTATCTCCAAATTCGCACAACAATGCAAGGAGAAGCATGGTCCTTCGGTGCACCTGATGATCGCTTCGGGCGGAAATGCAGGCCTAGCTGCGGCAGTTGTAGCACGTGTTTTGGGAGTGAAATGCACAGTGTTCCTTCCCACCAATGTAAGTATCGACACGCAGCAGGCTCTCCGAAAGCATGGCGCAGAGATTGTGACAATTGGAGAATTCTACTCCCAAACACTCGCTGCGCTGCAAGATGCCGTGAAGAAAGACACAAATGCGTGAGTACAGGCTTACTCGTCACTTGAGGCAAGCCAAACGCATCTTAGTGTCCTAGTGCCAGCATATGATTCGCCTGTCCTCTGGAATGGTCATTCATCCATGGTGATCGAGATGCAGAGACAACTTCCTAGGAAGCCGGACGCCATATTCTGCAGTGTCGGAGGGGGAGGCCTCATCGGAGGCATCATGCAAGGCTGCAAGAACGTCGGGTGGGATGAAGGTAATTAAAATCCTGAACCGCTATACTCATACCTCTAATTCACGCCCAATAAAGTGCCGGTGGTAGCGCTAGAAACCACTGGCTCGAACTGCTTTTACAATGCCATCGCCATCAATACCCGGAACTTTACTTCTAAAGTCCCCATCCTACCTTCCATTGAAGTGGAGGACAATTCTCCGTATACCGTTGAAATTATTGAGGAATATAATATCGCAATTCCACACATGAAAGCGCTGAAATCCCGAGCAGCCTCGCTAGGCGCGACCTCGCCAGCTCCTGGGGTGGTTAGAATGGCAGTCGATCGTGCCGGAGGAATAAAATGCGCATGCATCCCAGACGAGATGGCTATGCATACTGCAAGATTATTTGGAGGTGAGTCCCTGTGCGATGCAAAACGCAGATTGGCTGGCGCAATAACCATACTGCCAGACGATCATAAAATACTGACGGAGCTCGCTTGTTCGACAACTCTGACTCCCGGGTATAATCGCGAATTTCTCTTGCGCATCCTCGGACCAACGTTCTCAGCACTTTCTTCAGAAGAGAGGAAAGAAAAGTGCCTAATTTTTGTAGTGTGCGGTGGAGTCAAAATCTCTTTCGAGGAGATGATGGAATTTGAAGAGATTGTCGCTGCAGCGCAGGTGCAGAGCTACTGGAGTGTGCACATCGACGGCGAAGAAGCTCAGCTGCCTAAGCAATGATACAGAAACATAGATAGACAATATTGAGAGCGTAGACGAAGTAAATGCATTTGGAAGGAAGTAAGGGGGAGCTAATAACTACGACTGACTTATAAATGCTACTCGTGAGGAGAACTTTAGGCGACATACCGTTACCCTGAACTACCACCATTTGAACCATCCTTTTGAACTTTGTGCAGGTGCCTCCGGCTGTGTTTGAAGCTCTTGATCCCGCTCCATTCGTCGTGCAAGTTTATCTGCCTTTATCCTTGCCAGCTCTTCTCGGATGGCGGTTTGATCCGTTGGTATTTTCTACGTGCATCTTGAGCACACGGATGAGCAGCACATTGATATTAAAAGACTCACACTGTAAGTCCTATCCGGAGGCGGGAATAGGTGTTCCCTATACTGGTCGCAACAGTCAACGACGAAGTCACATAAACAAAACGACAACCTACAGGAAGGACGTGGTTATGGTACCAAGCAGGATCACCGAAATGCAACAAGGCCATGACGGGTACAAACAAGTACAGACCAAATTTAAAGACCTCAAGATTTGGACCACCCATGATAGACGCAGCCAACGTACAAAGCGTTCACTGTCACTCACAGGCCTGAAGCAGCATGGATAGCAGTCAGAAAACGATCACGTGACTTTCATTCATTCATTGACGCGTTGCCGCTCATACTCACTTGGTCACGTCTCCCATATCATAGAGACAACCATTCCTTCTTTTCGAATCTCGTAAGTAGAATCCACTGATTCGAACGCTTATTGATGTAATCACTAACACTGGACTCATATTTTCCCGACCTGCAGAAGCGACTTGGCCACAGATTATCATGGCGCAACGAGAGGATGACTCGGAAGATGTGTCCTATAAGCGAGCAGTCCATCAGAGCGCTCTGAGTCGGCCTTCACGTCTGAGTAGTCACGAGAAATCCGGCATAGGTAAGACTTGAAATCATATTGCAAACCAGAATATATAGTCACATGTACTTCGCTCGTGCGACTTCCAGTCTCAACCTTCACTGCTGTGATATGCGATCCAACAAAGACCACAAGGTATAAACGCCATCTTACAACGGATTCCGAGTCTAGAGACGAACTGGCTAAACGCCCACGAGCCGAAAAGACTCCTCTTCGCAAGCATGAGCGGTTTTGGCTTGCAGACGGAAATGCTATAATTGAACTTGACGGTATAAACTTCAGGGTGCACCAATCATGGTTCACAAAGCATTCAAAACGGATTGCAGCCATACTTCCCGACCAAGGAACGCAAGGCAGCAGACTCGAAGAGATTACACTTGATTTTTGTGGCGTGCTTAAAGCAATAGATTTTGAGGCACTGCTTTCATTGTATGAAAACCCTGGGTAAGTATATGCTGAATTTCGATCATCATATAGTGCTGGCTGACGTGTAGATTAGCGACTACCGCGATTACATCGAGACCCCAACACTCATGTCTCTTATCCGCGCAGCGGCGATACTCGGTTTTGACAACGATCGTACATGGCTCGTGAGGGAGTTGGAAGCGCTTTGGCCGTCTAACCTTGGAGAGCTATTTGTCAACCCAGAACCACGCCTCGATGCTCCAGAGGTGGCTTGCCTTGCACGGACGTGTGACATTGATTCGCTGTTGAAGCCCGCGTTCTACGATATGGCAAGAGCACCTGGATTCGGTCTGGACAGGTTGGATGAATCAGAGCAGATCGGCCGTGCGGATGTACTACGCCTTGTTCGGATGAGAGAGTATCTGAGCGGAATGTGGGCTCAGGTAGCTGCACATGAGGATCCTACCTTTGTTTGCCAAAACCTCCAGGCTGCACCATCTAGCAATGACGAAAGACCCTCAGGTTTATCTGCAAATACCAACGGGAAGCCTGTACTTTGCCCTACCCCCTCTGCTATGGATAGCCACTGCCTCTCGGCGACGGCACGACGCGAGGCATGGGTTCGGCTTGTTCACTACTCACAAATTTTTGCCCAATATCGGTACGACCCACTGCGCGGACTAGCAGCGTTGATAAACATCACGTGGACCGATGAATGGTGCAGGGATTGCGTGGAGAAAAGGAAGGCTGATTGGCATAAAATGCAGAGGAGAATCTGGGAGATGGTTGGTGAGTATTTAAGAGAAGAATGACCAATGGATGTTTGTTGGGGTTTTTTTGTGGTGTGGGGTTTTGTAAGTTACCTTGATCACCAAGTATCTTGCACCTCCCGTGATTCAAAATTTCGCACAACCAAGAAACATTTCTCCTAATTGTCTTGCTAGAGTTGCGGTGAAGTTCACCAGCTTTGTACTTGAATTCGCGTCAGGATAGAAAGGATTTGGACCGGTGTTTAAAGGCGTGCCAGGACTATTTGTCGTACAAGTCCAGGAAGTTAGTATACAGTTTTATTAATCTCCATTTCGTCACTTCATTAGGCTCTCCGCTGTTGTTCACATGGCCTTTCTTTCCCCACCATTTCAAACTCAGGCTGCTTGGTACAGTGCTGTCGACAGTATTCACACATTGAACATTTACCTTACCTGCTCTTTCAGCATCTAGATCTGGTCATCCGTGTTTTTCTGCTCCCCGATTATTTAATACTCCACTTAGCATTTTTCACGATTGATGTCTGCAAGAATTTTCGTACTGAACTTCTCTTCCAGAGTTCAGTCTCAGATAATCGCCCCGGAGTGTCATGACACATTAATGCAATCACGTGGTCTATCTAATAGCATATCATTCCCGCAGATTTCGCTGCTCATTCAGAATCACTCGACTCTGGACTGATCTTCTCCCGAACTGCAGGGCGACAACAGATCGTAGAATAACATGGTGCGACAAAGGGATAAAAATGTAGTTGATAATCAAACTGTCAATCAGATTCAGAAATCTCAACCAAGGCCCACTGGCGTCTATGACCTTTGGTGCAGCTTGCTTCACAAAGTTCCGAGGGTCAGCTTGCTTGACCTTCCGAGGCGCAGTCTCCGTTCGAGTATTCCTTGGACTCCTAAAGCCTCCGATGTAGGTGAGACTTGAACGACATAAACCAGTGGATGATGTTCCTGTGTCATGTACTCCACTCACACGACTTCCAGTCTTTGGAGTACCCGCTACTTCAAGCGACCCAGTACAGAATGCACGGTGCAAACGCCAATCGTCCTCTGAGCCCGAACCAGCAAAGAAAAGAGCTAAACCTGCACGAGCCGAGAACCTCGTCGAAGGAGTCCGCAAGCATGAGCGGTTTTGGCTAGCAGACGGAAATGCTATCATTGAACTTGACGGCATACAATTCAGGGTGCATCAATCATGGCTCGCCCAGCATTCAAAACGCATTGCAAGCCATTTCCGCGACAAAGGAGAAAGTGGCGACAAATTTGAACAAATTACACTCAATCCTCGCGGCAACCTCAAAGCAATAGATTTCGAGACGCTGCTGTTGTTTTATGACAACCCGGGGTGAGTGTCTACTGAAATTTGAATCCCGTATTTGCATCAGCTAACAAATGCGTCAGGGATTATCGCCATGCTATCGAGCCTCGCACCCTAATGTCCCTAATTCGCGCAGCGACAAGCCTTTGTTTTGACTCTGACCGTACATGGCTCGTGAAGGAGTTGGAAGCACTTTGGCCCTCTAGCCTGGAAGAGCTGACCGCGAACCCAGAGCCATACCTCGATGCTCTGGAGGTAGCTGTCCTCGCACGAACGTGCAACATTGATGGGTTGTTGAAGCCTGCATTTTACAATATGGCAAGGATGCCTGGGTTCGGTCTTAACAAGCTTAAGGAATCAGAGCAAATCGACCGTGCGGATATGTTGCGCCTTATACGGATAAAAGAGTATTTGAGTGACATGTGGATACAGGCAGCTGCGCACGAGGATCCTGCCTTCGTTTGCCGAAACCTCCGCGATGCGCCATCAAGTGATAGTGCGACTCCTTCTAAACAAGCTGACGAGAAGCCTGCACATGGCTTTATCACCTCTGCTAGTGCGGCTAGCACGTGCCTTTCGGTCACTGCAAGACGCGAAGCGTGGGCTCGATTGGTATATGACTCAGGCATTTTCACTCGATATCGCTATGATCCACTACGTGGACTAGCAGCGTTGATAGACATCGAGTGGACGAATGATTGGTGCAAAGATTGTCAGGAGAAACGGAAGGCGGATTGGCATACAATGCAGAGGAGCATCTGGGAGAAGGTTGGCGAGTATTTGAGGGAAGATTGACAGGTGGATATTGCAGTGAGTCACCTCGCTCCCCGAGTTTCTTGCTCCCCTGATGATTCAAAGTTTTGCTCAGATAAGTATTCCCGCCGTTATGTATCGCTCGAGTTGTGCTAGAATTGGCTGATGCTACACCGGAACCATCAGAATCGAAAGGGGTTTTAGACGAGTGTTCAAGGCGAACTAGATTCGGTAATTATGTAAAGTTCCAGGACTATTTGTTGTACACTCTCCACTGTCGTTCATTTAGCCTTTTGTCCCCGCCATTTCAAACTTCTTGGTACCCTGCTGTCGACGTCATTCACGCTTTGAAAATTTACTTCACTTGTGCTCTTTCAGCACCTTGTCCATCTGCCCTCTGACGAGTCCAGGTTTCTTGTTCCCCAATTATTCAATAATCCATTCAGCATTTCCCATCCACAATAATCGTTGTATTGAAATTATCGTCCGGAATACATTAACTTCAGTTTCCCGTGAGCTCTCTTTAGTATGATCGTCTGAATCATACTAATATGTTCACGTGACCTACTGTGACGGTTGGCAACTTGGCAAACTGTTCGAACTTCGCTGAGCGCTCATTGGACTAAAATTGGACTCATCTTCTCCCGAACTGCAGGGTGACAACAGGTCGTAGAATAATATGGTGCGACCGGGGGATAAAAATGTAAAAGCAGTCAAGCAGAAGCGAGTCGCTGACCTTCTCTTTGGTTCGAGTAGTGGGTCTGAAACCTCCAGTGTAGGTAAGACTTGAACTTGGCACCAACTGAACGATGTTCCTGTATAATGTGCTCACACGACTTCCAGCCTCTGATGTAACCTCTACTTCAAGCGACCTAGTAAAGAGTGTGCGACGCAAACGCCAATCTTCCTTGGAGCCCGAACCAGCGATGAAAAGGTTTAAATCCGCAGGAGCAAAGAACCTTACCGAGCAACTTCGCGAGCATGAGCGGTTTTGGCTAGCAGACGGAAATGCTATCATTGAACTTGACGGCATATTATTCAGGGTGCATAAATCATGGCTCTCCCAGCATTCAAAACACATTGCAGCCTCACTCCACGACAAGGGAAAAAGTGGTGACAAATTTGAACGAATTAAACTCGATCTTCGTGGCAAACTCAAAGCAATAGATTTCGAGACGCTGCTGTTGTTTTATGACAACCCGGGGTGAGTGTCTACTGAAATTTGAATCTCATATTTGCATCAGCTAACAAATGCGTCAGGGATTATCGCTATGCTAACGAGCCTCGCACCCTAATGTCCTTAATTCGCGCAGCGACAGGCCTTGGTTTTGACTCCGACCGTGTATGGCTCGTGAAGGAGTTGGAAACGCTTTGGCCTTCTAGCCTGGAAGAGCTAACCGCGAACCTAGAGCCGCACCTCGATGCTCCGAAGGTAGCTGTCCTCGCACGGATGTGCAACATTGATGGGCTGTTGAAGCCTGCATTCTACAATATGGCAAGGATGGCTGGGTTCGGTCTGAACGAGCTCGAGGAATCAGAGCAAATCGGCCATGCGGATATGTTGCGCCTTATACGGATAAGAGAGTATCTAAGTGACATGTGGGTGCAGGCAGCGGCACGCGAGGATCCTGCCTTCGTTTGCCGAAACCTCCAGCGCGCGCCATCAAGTGATAGTGAAGGGACGCCAACTCCTTCTGAACAAGCTGATGAGAAGCCTGCACTCAGCTTTATCGCCTCTGCTAGTGTGGCTAGCACATGCCTTTCATTCACTGCAAGACACGAGGCGTGGGCTCGATTGGTATATGACTGAGGCATTTTCACTCAATATCGGTATGACCCACTGCGTGGACTGACAGCGTTGATAAACATTAAGTGGACGAATGATTGGTGCAAAGATTGTAAGGAGAAACAGAAGGCGGATTGGCATATAATGCAGAGGAGCATCTGGGAGAAGGTTGACGAGTATTTGAGGGAAGATCGATAGGTGGTGAGTCACCTCGCTCCCCGAGTTTCTTGCTCCCCTGATGATTCAAAGTTTTGCTCGGATAAGTATTCCCGCCGTTATGTATCGCTCGAGTTGTGCTAGAATTGACTGATGCTACACCGGAACCATCAGAATCGAAAGGGGTTTTGGACGAATGTTCAAGCTTTCAAGGCGAACTAAGGGTACTACTGATAGGGTACACATATTCTTTTTGGACGCTTACTAATAAGTACGGGATATTCCGATTGCCCCTATTCAATATCATCTTACCTTACACAATGTCGCAACTCACACATTTACCTTGACGACAACATGACCGACGCGAACACCCCCCCGCCGACTCAAGATATTGTACATGTCATTCATCCAGACCGGGACAATCTTTTTCGCATCGCAGCAACTCCCAGTGATTTGATCAAAAAGAATGTGAAAACTTTCGGTGTACAGTGTACGCAGTGTCAAAAAACATTGGATAAACCTTTGAAATGTTCAAAGGTGCTAGTGGCTGATATATTTCTGTTACAAGCGCTCATCACACATTTTCGTAGTGCAAGGGTGTCTGGTATTGCTCAAAAGAGGTGAGATTTGTGACTGGGACAAAACACAGGGGCTGACGTTACAACTCACGTATCTTCTTGTGACAGTGCCAAAAGAAACATTGGTGAGTGTTCTTTTACAACCAATACACAGAGATCTCAGACCCGGACTCGCACTCATGATAGGCCCGCTCACAAACCAGCATGTCATGACGTTGAACGCTCCTCGGGGGCCCTCAAATTCGTACGAACGTTCTTCGCAAACATAACGCTCATGATGTTCCTCAAAGTTGCCATCATTTACGACTGTGGTTTGCTCGACAACTCTCGGCTCGGGTTCGACGTGCCTTTCATGGCACGTGTTGACATCGCCATTGAGCCAACTGATGTTCTCGACTTCGCGGGACTATATCTCAATAATAGGCCCATTGCGGAGAAGCTTAAAGGAATGGTGCAAGTCAATGCTGTCTCTGCGTGGGATCCGAAAACGCATCCTCCCCTCACGCCGATGCGGCTGCGCTTATGGCAGGATGCTCGAGCACAGTCCACCGCAGCAGGTTACGGCAAAGATCCTGTTGGACTCATTGAATTCCTCAACTATACAGAGAACTCTACCACCGTAGCGTTTCATATTGCCAGCTCTATTATTGCCGTCGCAAGGAAACGCGAACCCTTCTTATGTTCCTCTGCTCTCGCGGGCCGTCAATCTGAGAAGCCCATGGACTCTGCGACGTGTATAGAGTGCGTTCTTACCTGTGATGTGAATTTCGACAAGTGCGGCCCCTTACAATCGCCTGCATAGGTATATCAACTTGCATATTCGGGCCGATGAACAGAATCAGTTATTTTTACGGACTGTGATGACAGAGCAAGACAAGGAAGTTATTCGCGCTGCAGGTCGCAATGAAGACTCGCTTCCCGTCTCCCTTCTCAATTACAAGATGCAAAGAGAACTTCTCTATGCTAATATAGTGAAATTGAGACGCTAGCCAAATACACCCTCAGGTGCGCGTTTTTCAGAGCGTTGGACTCTTTCTAATTGTTGCATGTAGACAATAGACGACTGAATATTTTCTCGCACAAGGTTTGATTGACTAGTTTTTGGGAATGTTTGTAACCGTGCTTGTAAATTTGGAACTACTATAATATTACCGATTGGTTCAAGATATCATACGTAACCTCTACCGCATATCATCAAACCATGTATACTGAATCCGTTCGCAAATTTAAAGTCCCACGTCATCATGATAAAATCCTGGACAAACTCGAAGGACTTGATATGCATCTTGGATCCTGCCCTCCTTTGGTTTTCCTGAGGGAAAGTTGGAATTTCGCCTTGCCGATACATTTTTCATTGTACGTTTGTGAGTCACAATTTTGTGTTGACGTTATTTGCTCTAGTAGGTCCCTCTCAGATAGATTTTTGTACTGACAATGTATGTAAGGCCCTTCGCCAGACGTACATGTCCTTCATCCGAGCTTCAGTACATCGTGGCCAATAATTACCCCCCGTCCCCAACACGGATAATCATACACCTATTTCCGAGCGCCTGCAACTCTAGCAGGACAAACCCCACGCATGGTTCAAGTTTAGCATCCATTCTTTCGATACAGTCTCTATACCGAAGGAATCACATTCTGCGGACGGCATCCCTGCTTGTGGGACAACGACGAAGGCTTTGCCGCGATGATTCCCATACTAGTATCAACGCTTTCACAACAAACAGTCGGGCAGCACCGGTTAAAAAGAACGTTGAGCACAGTGACCTCAGTTCCCATTCACTCAAGCTCATGGTGTTCATGGATCCAGCAAAAAACCTGATTGCCGTCGTGTGTTGTCGACGAGACACTTTTTATGAACCTTAGAGCCCTGGGTAGTGATGGTGTTCACTCCGAAGAAGTTGCTGGACGGAGACTCTTTCTGTCGGTGATGCAGGAATCCAAGGAAGACAATAACCTTAAGGGTTATGGGAGGCATGTTAGTTTTCTGCGAGGACCTCTATTGCTTGATTTGTGGCGGCTGCAGATTTGAGGCTGGCGGCATTCCACGACTCGGACATCCACTGTGAGTCTTTCTCAGATATAGTCGAAGGACCCCACAGTTGATCTTCAGTTCAGTTTTGGTGCCTCCTCAGCGGCGACACAACCCACGCACGTTCAATCAAACTTCTATTTCTTCGGCTGCTCGTTGTCATTGACAATTTGAAGCTCTATTCAATCGAAGATATGTCCCAGATGGCATAATTGATGGCATCTTTTCTGATACCCATCCCATTTCCACGCACATGGTTCGTCCTTTCCAACTGAGTATGACTTACAGCTGCATGTGCAAGCCCAATATACGATGTACACCCCAGGCCCCAAACGCCGAAATAGCAGCAGCAACGCCAAAACCGTGAAAACCTTCATTTTCGAGCACATACAGGATCGCGTGGTTCACCTTAGTGGGAATCAAGTTTGTGCAAGCAATCTCGGCCGGTACGCTAGTAGCCTAAACTTCGGGTCTCACGGAGGACAGATTGCATACGATCGGATGAACTTCGGCCCGTTAGCTATGACGAAGAGGCGGGGTCGAAGACGAGTGGTGAAAGAGTCCTCTGCGATGGACTTCGGTACCTCCACTGACAAGCCCAAGGAGAGCTTGACAACCTACTTGCCTTGTATCGGACACAGTATTTCAATATCGACCTCGAGGTCATTGCGGTCTATTAACTGTGAAGATAGATCGTAACCCCCAAGTAATCCCAACACAAGTTCAAAGTTGCCAAGAATGTAGCGAGTTTCCGACAGTTCAAGAATCGTCAAGAACAATCAAACTACTTTATTAGCATACAGGTCTACCTTCATCCACTTTGTGAACTACGGCTCCATATTCTATTTACTACATTTCTTGGTATAGAAACTCTACGCAAACAAGGGCACCCAAACAGCAGGGCAGGTAAGTACTAGTGTTCATCGCGTCGCGGTCTATGGGTACAGACAAGACTGTGAGATAGCAACACAATATGATGGTAAGAGATGAGAAAAACAAAAGTGCTACGGTATAATAGTGCACACGTCTATGTGCAGGACAAAACAGGAAATGGTTACCGGACATGCGATGACTTTGATGAGGGGGCATTCGCATTCTCCTTGGCGGTGGAAGATGACGGGACAGGAGGTGCAGATAGTATGGGCGCTTGATGCGGTTGTACCGATTCCCGCTGCAGTGTGCCATCATCGCTTCCGGTACCCGCCTCCCCGACCGGTTTCATGGCATCTACCTCATCGGCATCAAGTGAAATTTGTTCTGTAGACTTGCGTCTTGCAGCCTCTTCTTCTTCGGCCCGCCGGACGATATCGATCTCGCCCTGCACCGTTATACCGTCCAGCCATGTATGATGCACAAGCTCGAAAGCTTTTGCACGGCGCTCGGGGTGCAATTGAAGCATCGGAGTGAGGAAGGCAGAAATAGCATCAGCTTCGTCCTTCGGGAAGAGGTACTTGTCATGCAATACCGCTTCAAGAGGCCAAAACCGAAGCTTGTTGATATGTCGGAGTTCACCTAGCGTATGATACATGAGAACGTATCAGAGGGCATTTCGAGGAAACTTGCCTTTCCGGTTGAAGAACTCTGAACTATACTTCCCTGAAAACGCGACTGACTTTGGAATTTCTCTCAGCAGCTCTATGATCTGGGCGATGTGGTCATCATCTTTGCTGTACCGTGGGCCTGGCGCAGGATCGAAGAGATAGTCTCCTCCGGTAATAAGTTCGAATACCTGAGGTGCGTATGAGCAGCATGCTCTAAGCGACGATCGTTGCACATACCAAACAGGCAACACTCCACACATCTGCACTAGTGCCCCACTTAGCTCCAAGAATGACCTCCGGACAACGGTACTGTCGCGTCTGAATATCATCTGTAAAATGGTGCTCGACCCAGGTAGCTACGAAGATAGAGAGCACCGCCGAAGCGAATGTCAATGAGCAGCCATGAAAACGTAATGAAAAACGCAATGACAATAATATAAAAGGAAGTGTACCAACCGTTACCAAGATCCGCAATTTTGACTGTGATCTTCGTAGTGCTCTCGAGCAGGCTAGAGGTTGTAGATGTCTCTGCCAGTACCGAATCCATAGACATGACAGAGGTGGAAAGCTTTGGATCGACAGCACTGGGTTCCGCAGATGCTTTGGAAGTCGATACAGCGTGTGGCTGAGAGGATGTTGTAACTGGGGGCTGGGAGGGGGCCATTTGTGTCAGTAGTGAAGGCCCTGGAGGATTGGCAGGGTGAGGTGTCGGCGTCTTATTGAATCCGGATGGATGGAGCGAGACATTTGAGATACGCTCTGCGGCCACCTCTGTCGAGTCTGCGCGCTTGGAAGAGGCGTCCATGGGGCCCAATCCTGATGTTGCAGCTGATCCAGCTGATCCATCCTTCGCCATTGAACTAGATCCGTAAGATCCGGGCTTGGAGGTGGCCTCACCATCGATCTTGCTCATACCGAACGCAAGCTTATCGAACATGGGGCTGCTGCCGAACGAGGAGGATGGGGACGGTAGGGGCTGAGATCCGGTTATGAAAACGGATTCGGAGCGAGGTGTCTGGTTGCCACCACGACCTTTGGAAGGGGGTACGCCGACGAGTCGGGTGGGTGGTGATGTGGCATTTGCTGACGCGGCAACCTCGGTCTGAATGATAGATTCGACGTCATCGATACTTATAAGAACGTTTTCAGGCTTCAAGTCTGTCGGAACATGGTCATGAGGCGCGAGGGAGAGGCAAAAATAACGGACCTGTGTGAATTATGCCACAACAACGATGCATGTAATCCAAACCTAGAAGGATTTGTTTCGCGATTTGTTTGACGAGGTGCATGGGCACGCCCTTGTTCTGATGTCGTTTGATGAGTCCGAGGAGATTTTCACCCAAGACTTCAGAAACCATGCACACGTGAGTGCCATTAGGGCCTTTATGTCGGAAGTGATCCAAAAATGACATGACATGTGATCTCCCGGGATGTGTGTGGGCATGGGATGGGGGAGGATTTGGATTATCAGGGGTTGGAGCGACGGGAAGGGTGTTAGATGTGATCAAACGTTGGAGTAGTTTGATCTCATCGAGAGCGGTCTCTGTGTACCTGGGGGCGGACTTTACGATTTTGAGCGCGACATGACGATTCATTCTGATCGGTTAAAAAAACGGAAGGAAAGATAAACGGACTGCACGTGGGGAGAGAAGATGTGCCTGCTTACTTTGTGTCTTTGGCGAGCCATACTGTGGAGAAATGACCCCAACCGAGTTTCCTGACGACGACATACCTGCTGTCTGAAAAAGAGTCACCGATGTGAACAGGATGGTAGCCTCCCTTGACGTAGTCCTCCCAATCTTCTTCGTCTTCGGTCATGATGGATTGGGAGTGAGAAGAATAGGATGCGTGAGACATAGTGAAATTCGGGTATGCTGTAAAGGAAAACGATAAGGCAAGTTCTGTCAAGCCAGGCGATAAGAACTATGTTTGATAGCAACGGGAGATAAGCTTACCTGCAATGTTTAACTGATTCTATTTGGGTATAACTTTCGCTATAGCACACTAAAGATCACTAACAATGAGAACACTTGAACAACGACGGCGACGACGACGAGAACGACGACGACGATGACTGTGAGCTGGAACAGTGATCAAATTATATCAGGAGACATGTGATTGGCTACTTTTTGGCTGACTAATATATGTCACATATCATATTGTTTGTTCCAGACGTTCTTGCCAAACAACCGCACGATGACCACGCCCTACCAGTCGATCCCAATGGGTCATAAAGGAGCTAGTCCAAATCTCCGCCCTGCTTCCCTATGGAGTAAACCTATACGTCTTTCCCCGCACGCATCAATGTCTACCCGCAGGTTACACGTCATAATTACCACAGGAACTCATCTGCCTCGTGTAATCACAATAGTCACCAACGTTGCATCAATGACCTCTGCCGTCAAAACAAGTTTCGTGTAGGCCACGAGATCATATTCTCGAAACCAGATTAACCATCTTGGTATGTCTCTGGCTTCTGTTTACCTCTTCAGGCCTTCCGTGAATAGCATTGCATGCCTGAAACACGTGTATACAAGTCATGACTTTCCCTGTCGGTTCCTGCCACTTCCAGGTCACATACCCCAGCTTTCATAATCATCATCCATTAATTGATATTTACGCCCTCCTTCATCCGGTTCGGATTACACGAGGCTGCGCCTTCCATCCTGTGCTATTTATCCTTTAACTCTGCTGATCATACATTCTCACTCCACAGCTTATCAGCATCCTTTCAGGTGCTCGATCGTGTCTATCATCGTCCATGCGTCCTTTCGCCGACCTTGATGATGAACAAAGGTATGCTAACAACCATATATCGTAATGTCCCTCTCATCCCCCATAGGATCAGCATTGCCAACGAACACCCCAACGATCTTGAGTCTGGGCCATCCTCTCCATCCTCGCCACCCAGCTACCTTCGTCCTCGTCGTCCGAGCAAATCAAATTCTCGTCATCGATCACAACATACCACCACAGACGGTGGCTCAAGCAGCCACCTCCTCGCCCGTCTCATCGCTCGCGACGATGAAGTCCGCGAAATCAATGCTCTTCTTGTCGTCACTTCTGAACGTCTCGAGACAGAGTCCAACCGGGCTAACAGCTCAGAGCGCCGTGCGCTCGAATACTTCAACCGATTGCGTCAAGCAACCGAGAATCGTGAGCGCGCTGAACAAGACTCAGCTCGTCTTCGCGAGGAGTTGAAGTTGTACAAGCTACAGCTTGAAAATGCACAAAAGGAAATTTTTCGTGCACAGGATATCATCAATCAGGTCTCTGCTCAGAAATGTGAAGCCGAGGCGGATGCTGCGAGAGCCAGAACAAAAGCAAGGAAGTTGCAGGAAGAGAAGATGATGATGCTCGCCCACGAGGATGGCAGGCGGCGTGGTTACAAAGAGGGCCTAACAATCGGACGTCGGCTCGGCTTCGACGAAGGAAGCACGATAAGAAATGATGATGAACCGGTCCGACGAGTGCATCGGCCTGCCGTCCTACCAGATGGAGGAGACGAAGAAGAGGAAGAAGAGTCGGTGCACTCTGAACGTAATAATGATGTAGTACGCTCACAGCCGCGGGTGCACCCACGATCTTCAAGACAGTATGTAACCATATATCCATGTGCAATCGTACTCATTTTTTATGGACAGCGTGCGCCCGGAGTCTGCTCCGCCTGTTGGGCAGTATGGTACTGCGCCACATGCAGCTCCTATTATGCCAGTTCCACCACCGCAAGTAATTCCAGTCCCGTCCCATTCCCCTCCAGGAAGAATCACAACGCCCTCACCACCAACGAGTCCTCCAGCGGAGACCGTTTACCCTACGCAAATACGCACAACCTCTAGCCACTTAGCTGACGTTCCCCGGGATGGTTGGATACCGCGAGCAGACCCACAGACATCGTACATCCCAATCCCACCGCCACACGAACTTTATCAGCCCGTGTCCCTGAGCTCTAGCACACACCCACACGACTTAGACAACCGCTCACGTCGCGGTCCTTCGTATGATGCTGAGGATTCAAACTATGCTCTTGTAAGAACTCGCGATTTCGCATATGCGCAACCTGCCCCAATTCCAGTCCCAAGTCTGCATACTCCATCTCTCATGTCGCGATCAACATCGACGCATATGTCTCAATACGAGCTTGTAAGCGCCCCCACCGAACGACACGGAGTCTCACTTCGTCATGAGGCATCTTCCACGCACACAAGGAGTGAAAGTCAGACTGAACGACGTACGTCATCACGCGGTGGATATCCCCCCGAGAAAAGTCGGAGGGAAGATTTGGTAGAACAATGGCGTGTAGACCCAGAAGTTGTTGCTACAGCAACTCCTGGGCCGGCCGTAAGAGATTTTGTGCGATATCATAACCAGTATCAATGTCAGGGCACTAATTTTATGCTCGTTTAGCAACCTGTACTACCTCCTGGACATCAGCGTCCCAGGGAGTCAAACATCCCCGCCACACATACTGATTCACGTGCTTCAAGTCGAATAGAGTCCCAATCATCGCAAGGTCCTTCCCAGAAACGGAGTCCACCACGATCAAGAAATCCGCTCGACTACTTTAACTTCAGGCAACGTTTCCACCAGCGAACACAATCAGCTGCCAGCGTTCCAAATATAACTGTTGAACCCCCGGTATGTGCTCCGATATGAAATGCATCTTCTGTTCACATGTTTTACAGTCCGATGAAGCTTCGACTCCATCTGACCACTCTCATCAAGCACATCATAATCTTCTAAGTCCAGATGTCGCAAATCGGCCCCTTGCTCCGGTTCATGAAGAATCCCGGACATCCGAAAGACATTCACAAGACTCACACGGCGCCTACCAGTCGACCACACCTACACAGCCTCCATGGCCAGCAGGGTTCATGCCCGTCTCAGGGGAACCACCAGAACCGGGCTCCCAATATCCTCGCTCAAGAAGTCGAGGACCTGATGAGCATTACCAGATGTCGCCTATTCCTGAGGGTATCTCATACCCTGAACCGCCGATGCGTATTTCGTCGTCTCATTCACATCGTCACCCGGAAGAGTCTGAACGATCGAGCTCGCCGGCACCTCTGCAGAGACCGATATCATTGTTCTCTGACCAAGATGGGTGAAACAGACATAATTCCATTATTTTTTTTGTATTTGTAGAGTTTTGATTTTGACACTTTCGCGCACTGTCCTTACACCATTGCCACATTATGAAACTTGTCTTTCTTTCCAAGCCAGTGACTTTTAGATGCGTTTGTTTTGCGTATAACTTTGATCATCGGTAACTACCACCAAAGTATGATAGGGTGTTGGCTGAAGCGCTGATGCACTGATGACTCGAGCTCGCCGGTGGCTCCCTTCGACGTCAAAGATTATCCCGCAACTGATCGATGATCGAAGATGACTGATCGAGATAGAGGGTGCTTGGCTGTGCTCGGGCCACCTCAGCTGAAGCTGCCTTATTAGTAAGCCATCATAATTTCCGGTGGCACTGACGTTGCATCTTCATTTCAAACACCATACACATGAAGACCCTTACAGCGTCCTAATTATGATGCTGTACCTGCCCTTATTCACGGAACACTGTTCTGTCTGATCCGTGAATATTTGATGTGAGTCAATCATTCAACGTCAGACAAGACAGAGTCACAGTGATATGTACGCATTTATCCCTCAGTTCTGAAGATGACAACCGCGAAAAGCCTTCATTCAGACTCGAGTCAGACTCGTCCGAATTCGCACCAGAACTCGTGCCTACAGATAATGGAATCTTGCAAGATACAGACTCTGCCGCGGGCGAACTTCTTGGAGTATAGGACTCCAAGAGCAGCTGGGCGCTGCGGCGCTGCGGATATGGACCCTGCCATCCGAGAAGCAAGGCATGTTTGTTCTTTCAAGTTGTCTTTTCTGATAATGGTGCCTGGCGTACGCTCTGCATTGCCTAGAGAACAATTACTCCAGGAGGCCGGGTTCTCGTGGTGGCTGCTCAGGTCATTCTTAATATCACTATTGAAATTGTGGAGTGCTCGTTGCGTGCTCAGTAACTACAGAGGAACCCCCTATTCCAGAAGTCATCGCAATGCGCCATCGTGCTGGAACCTGGATACTCTCTGGAATTCTCGCGGGACAAACTGCGGACAGATCGAGATTGATGAGTTTTGTTTTTCTTCTTTTGTTTCGCGGTCTCCCGGATCTTATTATAGCTCAAGGTTCGAACGTTCAATGTTCAGCTGTAGCCTCCTGAAGCAAGATATGGAAGTTGTGATTCTATCTGCCCACACTCCTGAAGGCATTGGCAATTACTGCGGGTCTCACGTCGATAATGGGCTCCACCTGCCTCGGAAAAAGTGGATCACAGCTTTGTCCTTGGCGCTGAATATTTTTTGCGGTTCGTTCAGCCTCGGAATTTTGTTGTAGCACATTCATAAAATGTTACATAGCCTCACTCAGAAGTTCGGATGTCAGTGGAAGACCTGTTGGGATCCTGAATACAACTATTATTACTCAGCATCCGATATGTGCGTGAACAGTGATGCATGATGAGGCGTCCGTGCAAGATTGTTTTGTAGTTCAGCGCCAGTAACGCGTTCGCAACACGGAACCTCCGTGTGCACTAGTCCCCCTTAACAGATTATAGACGAATGAAGATATCGTTTCTCCTAAGTGTGAGTGTGCACGTTCATTCATTTTTTGACACGTCTGAACTGTTATTGCCAGAAATATCCTCTTCAACAGCCTCGACTAGTGCTTGAATCGAGAGTCGATTGTCAATACATTGAATTCATGCTTTGGACCTAGTGGCCGGCATAGATTTCTTTGACCTGCTGCTAGGACCACCAAAGGCGCTGAGTAAAGCAAGTGCTCGACATCTACCTCAAACTTACTCTCCATGGTGAGGCTTTCACGGGATGACGTGGGCAGCTATGTACGCTTATCCTGCTTTCAGCGATCCCGCAGCGAATACCGTACTGTACAGTGGTGAGAAATGTCCACAGTGCCAGTTGAATAATTTCTTGTTTCAGCTATTGTCCACAACAATGCAGCCGATAGAGTCAATGGTGCTGTGAGCTCCCGACCGGATGCTACCTAAACAAAATACTTAGACTTGTGGACTTGTGGACACGATTGGATATATAAAAAGGATCGTGCAAACGACCGAGGGCTACCAACAACTCTTCATCATGCATAACGCTATCAAAGTCAACGATATCGTCTACTATATACTGCAACACGTCAAGTCCTCTAAGTCGGACTTGCGAAACATGGCGATGACCTGTTCCACGTTCTCAAATCTCGCTCTCGACATGCTATGGTCTCAACAGGACAGTTTGACACCCCTTTTCAAGTGTCTCCCGCGAGACACTTGGAAAGCCTGGTGGGGTAACACTATGGTGAGTGATGTCTGCCACTTGAGTCTTGATAGGACGATGCTCACCGTACTCCAATTTGCAGGATCTTTCCCGCGAACCGCTACCCACGGAATGGGAGCGGGTCAGGATCAATGCGGCAAGGATACGCGAGTTGATCTTTACGGGGAACACCCGTGATCCCCCGAGACCAAGTCGCCAGGTCGTACAGCGACTTTTCGAGCTCTTTCCGCCCGCTGTGTTGTTTCCCAAACTGCGCACATTGCATTTCAACACATTATCTCAGTATTTGCGGGACTTCGATTCAGAACTCTCGTTGCTTCACCAGTTCCTCTCGCCTAGATTGGAATGCCTCGTATATAAAATAGAGTCCCGCATTCCGGAGCGCGAGGTAGAGCAATTGTTTGATGCTATTTTTACTCAAGCGCCTGGCCTTCAACAACTATCACTACACAGTTCCCACAAGCTTTTGGCTTGTCCTTCCAAAGCACCTAAGCTGCCGAAGAAGCTGAATGTCCTATCGATTGGCCCACTCCGCATGGGTCTGATGAAGCAGATCATTCCCGATATCCAGCATTTGCGCAGTCTCCAATCCCTTACACTGGCTTTGGGCAAATCATTTGATATGGTATTCCAACCATCAGGTGGTATGCCACTTGAATTGAGTACGCTCAAACATCTTCATCTCACTGGCACCCGCTTGGAACATTGCACATCCTTCCTTCATAACGTTGCCATGCCACAATTGTCGGCCCTCAAAATCTGGCATTACACAGCTACTGGACCAGCCGAAATCACCGCGGTCATCAAATCCTTATCTACGTCCTGCAAAACATTTGCATTTCTGGAAAATATCACTGTGACCGACCGTTCGGGACACCGCTTCGAGGAACTTGGGACTCTCCATTCCTATATTTTCCGGCCTTTGCTCCGGTTCAGGAGGCTGTCGACTGTCCAATTTAGTGGCATTGGAAAATACTGCCTGGATGACGTGTTCATTGAGGACGCTGCAGTTGCTTGGCCAGATCTTCGTACGTTGACATTCGCGTCAGACGAACCTGGCGAAAATCAGGTTACCTTGACCTCGATGCTTTCATTAGCGACCAGGTGCAAGTCGCTTCATGACCTGCACTTAACGTTCGATGCCACACATTTTCCGACACTTCCCCGTGCGCCGGATGGAAACCTGGAACTTTGGACCACGCAGACGACCCTCTGCAAACTACATGTCGGACACTCGAAGGTGTCGGAAGCATCACGTTTGCACCTCTTCCTAGCAGTGCTGTTTCCAAATCTAGCCGATCTCAAGCATTGTTACTGTTTAGATGGTGTTGCGGCGTGTATACAATTAGAAAAAACATGGAGCAAACTGCTGATCGAGCGGGAAAACTCTCCAGACGAGGCAGCTTCTTGGCCAAACACCCTACTGCAGCTACAGCCGTAGTCGGAGGAGGAGGACGAAGTGGAAGATGAGGAATGGGAGAAGGAGGACAAGAATGACTTATTGTGAGGATAAATAGGCGGTCTCAGGCTGTACATGAAATATTACGATATGTTAGCTATTATGTACCTTATGCTCTATATGCTTGTGTATGTCTGAAAGTAGTGAACAAATGTAAATCCCGCTGCAGTGGTTCGCAAGTTGTGCACTTTGGTATTTGTACGTCTAATCTTAATCAATATGGCGCTGGATCAGTTCAAAAATGATACACACAAAATATGCACACACACACGCGCATATTCGACACACACGCAGATAGCTAAACACACATGTCTTGTATTGTAACACACTCAGTACTATAGGCGCATTTCCAAATCAACTATGTTCTAATCAAAGTGTCTTGAATCATTAGGCCGCTGCAGCCCTGGCAAATATCTCACCAGACTCGCCAACCAAGTCATCAGATGACGAGGAATCGACTCGGAGGATACCCTTCCCTTTTATAAAATTTCTTCATGGCTTGGCAAGCCCAAGGTATCCAATTCGGCTTTCGTCAGCATCGGGGCAGGCTCCATGATCAGGGCCGCCGACAACTGCTGAGCTGTCTCCTCGACCAGATCAAAAGCGAGACAGAAAGCTGTTGCTTTCTTCACCGTCTGAAGCAGCGTTTTCCAGCACTCTGGATTGACCCTTCCAATTTCTGGCCCAAGTTCCTGGAAGCGCTCGATAGCTTCATTAAATTTTTGAGGATTGCGGCCATCAAGGAGAAAACGCGCCATCGAGTTCCACCACAGTTGCCGCCAATCAATGAAACAAGCGGTGTTGTCAGTGCAGTATGGTGAATGTGTGATAATGGGTGGTTCCTCGCAGGCAATAATACGGTTATGCTCATCGAGAAGTTCTTTTAGATCTACGAATGCATTCCAGACTTCAAACCCAAGTCTCCTTCGCACTGGTCCTGGAATATCACGGATGCGAAATTCGACGAGACGGCGAAAAGCGGGAACAAAGAACTTTGAGATTGAAAATTCGAGGCAGAGTGCAAGTAGCTCGTATGGTTTGTGTTGGAATCGACGTTCGTGGAGGTGATTGATGGCGACATCACGAGCCTTTTGGCTCATGAATTTATTGCTGAAACGAAGAAGGTCAAGGACATCATCGTGAGTGGGACCTTCGGGTTTCCAACTGCATAGTAGTCCTACATTTAGAATAAATGCAGTACCTCAAGAACTGTCTTGACTTACCTATTGTATGCAACTGAGAGGAACAGTTCGAACATATTCATGCTGAGTTCGGGAATGATAATGGGATGGTCGTCGTTTGAGCCTTCCATGCCTTCTGTCAGCGGCAATTGACTTCCAACAGAAAACATCTCCTCGAACGCAATGGATGTGCGTGATAATTGAGTTGCGTGGACCTTGAACAATGCATTTTCAACCTGCATTTTGACCTGTTAGTCTACAGTATTGTCAAACGAAAACATCTGACCAAGAAAATATGAGTACCATCGAGTATATAGAAGCGGCGATGTCGAAACCTAAGAAGACTTGGGGCCCCAAACATGATGGTCTGCAATTGAAGTTTGAATTCAAGTCGGAGCACAAAGGACGTAAATGCAGTGTAGCTACCGCTTTATCACCTCTATTCACCAACCATGGATCTTCCAGCTCTACCAGAACATGAAAATCGATGGCCACAAAATGTCTATGCTGCGGAGGGTATCATCAGCAATATATACAATGCTGCAATTAAAATACTTCGGTCAAATGATGCAGAACCAACCAGAGTGGCATACCACTATGATGCACTGTCCACAGAGGCCCTACCTTTGCTCGAAGCGATTGAAAGTGATTCAAGTCCTGCTGATTACCAGCTTCTGCATGACTGGCTACTAGCATGTGCTAGGCTTATTGGGGAGGCAGCCGCAATGCTCAAGGATATCAGTCGAAATCTTCATGTGTAAGTCTTTCACTTGCCTGACACTCTGCTATCTAAATAAACTTCAATCCAGGGAAAATGCTGAACGAGCAAATGTGATAATCCCGGAGCTTGTGACTCTGGGTCATCAGCAATGTCGACTTGGGCGTCGGAAGAAAATCATTAACTTCGATTTTGTCAGTAAAGCCCTATCCAACCAGCACCATATCATGCTGCCAGATCTCGCACGAATCCTCCAAGTGTCCCGCACTACTCTGTGGACATTTATTCGTCAACATGGTCTAGAAAAACACTTTACAGTTATTAGTGATGCTGATCTCGATCAACTTGTGAGGACTTTCAAAGAAAGTAAACCAGAATCAGGATTCCGGTACCTTGTCGGCTTCCTTCGACACCAAGGTATTCGAGTTCAGCAGCATCGTGTTTGGCAGTCCCTGCGCAGAGTTGACAGGCTGGGACAAAGGCTGAGAGAACGACGTGTTACCAGAAGACGAAAATACCGAGTTGCTCGACCAAATGCACTATGGCATGTAGATGGTCATCACAAGCTCATTCGATGGGGCTTCGTCATCCATGGTTTCATTGACGGGTATTGTCGCACTGTAAGTCAATTAATTCATATAAGTAACAATACACCTTACTGTACCAACAGATAACAGCGCTACGAGTTGGCACAAATAATCGTGCATCAACTGTGTTGGATTTATTCATCTATGCAAGAAATGAATATGGTATCCCGTCTCGTATTCGTGGAGATCGTGGCGGCGAGAATATTCAGGTTGCCACTCACATGATTGCGACAAACGGTCACAATCGTGGCTCATTCCTATGGGGATCGTAAGTGGAGTCCTCTGGAAATCTACTTGAATAATAATGCATGTTAGATCAACACGGAATTCTCGCATCGAACGATTGTGGGTTGAAGTAGGCACACAGTTTGTACGCCGGTGGCGGGGGTTCTTTACCAGGCTCGAACGACTTCATAAACTTGATGTCGACAAGCCTGGGCATCTGTGGCTCCTCAGTGTGCTTTTCTTAAATGCGCTCAATGATGATTGTCGACAATTTCAACAAGAATGGAATTTGCATCCTATTCGTGGTTCTGATACCAGGGATCGAAGCCCTCAGGTCAGTGAATATTCAGTGGTACAGAATTTTTATCTCATAACTACGAAGGATATGCGCCTTCTAGGACAGGCATCATTAGGTATCTATGAAGACGAGTTTGAGGGAATCTGTCCTACAGTTCTGCAGCGCTATTATGGTATTCATGGCAGGGAGGTTGTCCGTCATCGAAATCAGACAGGTGCTGGCCACCCAAGTGACGAGGCGGATGAACCAGAAGAAGATGATATTATTGGCCGCATTGAGCAGGAACAAGCAAATGATGTCCAGCATGATGCTGTTGAGGTTCCAGACAGCAATACTCCTTTTCGGAACGAAGAGGATGAAAGTATGTTCTTCGAAACACTTGAGGAGGTTGTCATGGAGGGGATTGTACCGGAGGGATACAATTTACGCGAGGGTGAAGACAAGTATGATGAAAACACAAGTGAATACCTACGAGTTGGAAGGCGGAGGGAGCATCACAGTGGAGATATCATTGGCTGACCCTATCTGGAGAACTCGCTCGACATTATGGGCTCAGGCATCTAGTATTCTAGATCACTTTGAAGCAAATGAATTTTTTTGAGTCGCTTAAGTAGTACTTAACAAAATCCGGAGGGACCCAGGACCATTGAATACAAATTCCGCACCTCGCCGACTAATTTGTGTTCCAGTCCTCTCTTCCATCTCACTTAGAATGCCGAAGCCAGCATTTTGCAAGGGCAATCCTGATGAATCAGTACCCTGCTATTGCGAAGAGTACTCGGCACCCACAAATATTCCAGTTGGCCAAAAAGAACTTTGCGCTGAATGTTTGCATGGGAAGAGCAAACATCCACGACCTCAACCGCCTGTACTGGCTGAGCTACCAGCAGTCGCTACTGCAAAGGAACGAGTTGGAGTGACAGCTATATTCAAGCAATCGCTCGCTCGACGAGCAGGACAAGGTAGTCAGAATACAACTACTGCGACAGCTGCGAGAGATGAGGTAATGGCAGGATTTCGCCCACCTGCAAAGCAGAGATTCCCAGTGAGTAACTCACCTGACTTCTGTGTGTTCGAAATGACTGGTGCCGCCTAGGGCAGGATTGTATCCTCGAGACAGGCCAGCTCTTCAAAGCAAGGTCACGTCCCGATCAAAGTCGGTGCCATTGCCATCTTGGTGAATTACCTCGATGTATGTTAGTTCAAACAAGCTATGACTAGTATGAGCTTACCTGGCAACCAAAAGGACAAAGGAGAGTTGTTGACCACAATTCCGCCTGTCAGAACAGAGATGTCGAAGTTAAAACGAAGAGGATGCGCTCATTTTGATGGAGATCAGTCTGAGGACGGAAGTGTGGATTTCAGCTTTTGTTTAGACTGGACATTTGAGGAAGTTGATGCTTACATTCGAAGATTATTTCCCAAAGTCTTTGAATACCTTGACTCTGTGAAGGTTGGTGATGTCAAAGGGAAGGCTACGGACAATGGAGCATCTGAATGGGTGTTAATTTCGAAAGAGAACCGCAGGCTCAGTGTCGCACCTGAGCCCTTCCCAACTGGCAAACACCTCGAACGGTACAAAGGCAGAAGCAATGCCCCACTTCAACAGACAAATATCTTTATTGGTGAGTCGTTGATAAATTTGTCCTAGATTTTCTAATCAGTGTATGTATAATGATAGGTATCCGGAAATTCGTACCTGAGCATACTTATGCACGCTGGGACCCAGACATGGTTATTATTGATATAGCTGATGACAGCGATGACGGTGATGACGGCGATGATGGCGATGACGGCGACCATAAACAAGAGTATGGGCTTAAAATCGAAGACGACATATTCACTCAAGTTCCAAAGATTGGTTAGTCTCACGTGTACAGTCTCGAGCGCTGTGTTTAAAATTCATTGTGTTACTTACTCAAGTGCGTCCAAAACGTCCAATGCAGCGTGGAACCCGTCAAGAACCAGCTCAGAAGAAATTGCGTGGAGGTAAGTACTACCATTTAATTGTATGGGAACACTACTGACACATAATATTTAAAATCAGCTCATGGACAGCCCATTGCATCGAAAACGGGGAACAAGTCGGGAAGATCCTCAGGCCAAGTTAAACGTAAGTGTCGAGTTTTTATTTTCTGGCAGAAGTCAAATGTCTAACACTTGGAATTTACAGTTTTCTGTCCAAGTGGCTCTGATACGGATGACAGTCTCAACACCCTACCAGCTAGTCTGAAAGGGATGTCAATCTCACCACGGGTTCAGAAGCGTGCTCCACGCCATAATCCAATGATGCCATTGATCAAGGACGAAGAAAACCACCAGGATATCGACCTGCGAGACTTCGCAAAGGCTCAGAATCATCATGTGCCCGGCGTACCTAATCGACCACTCTTCCAGCCTCTCGTTTCGGTCCAACCTACGCTGAATGACCTGTTGCGCGGCCACCCAGACGTCAATGATCCATTGTCACGTCCGTTCCACAACCCCTGGACGAAGGACTACTTCATTGGCTCTATCAAACTTTGGCTTTAATTTTGTGCGAAAGTCTCATCATCCCATTTAATTCCCCTTACTTCTTTGAATCCTATGTCATTTGCCCTTTAATCTTCCTCACTCCTTTTAATCCTTCATTCTGAGCCCATACTACTATTCAACTCTTCGTTTAATTCCTATCCCGCCAACTTATCCTTCATTAAATGCTGGTTGGTTCAATTGAAAAATTTAGTTCATCAGTTTATCTCACACATCCTCACCTTCATCGTTGCATCCGGTGGCATTGTCAATGAAAATCTCATTGAATTTTTCGCCAACTTGCTCTCAGCCGTGTCCGTCTTCTGGCTCAAGAAGCGCGGTCTCACATTCTCATCAGCCGGGTATGTACACCAATTTTGCATCAGAATGTTCCAATTGCGCGAAATTAACCAGATAGAGCGCGAGATGTGTCAGTATCTGGAGCGAGGACATGGTCAAGAAGGATTTCGTAGGTCAAGGACCTTACCCGGCAAAGACAACCCCTCCTCCTACCATGAATCCCTTCCTCCCTCCTCCAGCTGCTTTGGCACCTATGCCTTCATATGGCCATCATTATCTTTCAGTCACTTTCACAGTGTTGCGCGGTGTAAACGGGTTCAGCGTGCCGACCTCATAGGCCAGGGAGACTCGAAACATCGGCCGCTTTGCTTTCGGTCATCGGTAGTGCTCGATTTTCTTCATTACAAGTGAGATATTTGCCAGGGCTGCAGCGGCCTAATGATTCAAGACCGGCTGCAGGGGCTGGTATTGGTACGTTTCACTTGAGCGAGCATGTGATGTCTTACTGATGAGTCGAGTACAGCCAGCCGAGTCAGTGCGGAGCCCCTCCGTCTCTTAGTAGAGAGCTCCTCAAATGCCAATGCAAACATTCGCTTCGGCCATGCCCTTGCCAATGCCAACGTGAATGGCAATGATGACTCTGACAACGTCGCCCGCTTGGTGCGCCCGAGCCTCGTGATGATCACCTCCACCGAAGTCAAGGGCAAGCATCACTTCTGTGGCGCATCCCTGAAAGCGAAGGCGCTTCGCATGTCAAACGCATTCCGTCATGCTCTTGGCTTTCCTCTCATCGAGATGGGTGATCATGACACCTTCAAGGGCGAAATCGCCAGCAACCCCGGTCCTGTTTCTGGAGAACTCCGTATCCTTCCCATTCCCTTGTTTTTGACATAGTTGATTTGGAAATGCGTCTATAGTACTGAATGTGTTACAATACTACAAGACATGTGTGTGTTTTAACTATATGTGTGTGTCTCGTATGTGTGTGTGTGTGAGTTTTGTGTGTGTATCATTTTTGAACTGATCCAGCGCCATAAATCAACGCTTCTGATGAAGTCCCATATGCATGGCGCTGTTCAATTATTCTTCACACGCACACACACAGACGTGACACACACAAACGAGACGCACCGTACGCGTGACACACATAATCACTCCTTCGCATACACATTCTTGTATCGTGAAAAAATTAGTACTGCACTATGATCATTCATAACATTCATTGATGCCCCAAGGTACCCAACTCTGCACGTGTCAACATTGGGCCAGGCTCCGTGATCAGAGCTGCCAACAACTGCTGAGCCGTCTCCTCAATGAGAGAACTGCATTTGCAAAGTCGATTCCCAACTTCAGTGACCTCATTACGAAACTCGAACGCGAACCAGAGTCACTAACGAGCTTCCTCAAGTCAGTAAGTGCATATATGCGCTATTTTAGCATATACTGACATTTTATAGATGGACAGTGCAGCGAATGCAGCTCGTTGCGACGATACAGGGTCTCTCAAGCATACCGGACTTCAGTACATGCTCGATGACCCAGCCAAGGATCGTTTCGACCCCCCGATACTCAAGTCTCGAAGTAAGGCCTTGCGAGGGTGTAATCACCCACAGACTGCACGACTATTAGGTCCCGCACGGGATATCGCTGAATTTGACATAGATCCCCAGTACGTACTTGTATTTGATTGAAACAAAAACTAACTTGCTTCAGAGCTTATATGGACAAGGTGAATGCGGGAGAGAAGAAGATCAACGCAAAGCAGTGGCCATCGATGTTCTACGACATGAGCTTGTACGACCCAAAAAACAAGAAGAAGGGATTACTAGGTTCACGCACTCTAAATCAGAGCAACACCGGCAATCCTCAGAACGATGCCCCTCCTACACCTCCTCGCAGTTCCCCTGGGCCAGCACCTCCTCGCAGCTCCCCAGCTCCTGTTAGTTAGGGTTAGCTAACTAACCACAACTTAAACCCAGGTCTCCAAACTATGCGATTGATGAGTTTTGTTTTTCTTCTTTTGTTTCGCGGTCTCCCGGGTCTCATTATAGCTCAAGGTTCAGCGCTCAGCCGTAGCCTCCTGAAGCAAGATATGGAAGTTGTGATTCTATCTGCCGACACTCCTGAAGGCATTGAGAATTACTGCGGGTCTCACGTCGATACTGGGCTTCACCTGACTCGGAAAAAGTGGACCACAGCTTTGTCCTTGGCGCTGAATATCTTTTTGCGGTTCATTCAGCCTCGGAATTTTGCTGTAGCAAATTCACAGAATGTTACATAGCCCCAACCACGAGTTCGGACGCCAGTGGAAGACCTGTTGGGATCCCGAATACAATTCTTATTAATCAACGTCCGATATATGCGTGAACAGTGATGAGGCGTCCGTGCAAGGTTGTTTTGTAGTTCAGCGCTAGTAACGCGTTCGCAACACGGAACCTCAGTGTGCACTAGTTCCCCTTAACAGATTATAGACGAATGAAGATATCGTTTTTCCTAAGTGTGAGAGTGTACGTTCATTCATTTTTTGACACGTCTGAACTGTTATTGCCAGAAATATCCTCTTCAACAGCCTCGACTAGTGCTTGAATCGAGAGTCGGTTGTCAATACATTGAATCCACGCTTGGACGTCTAGTGGGCGGCATAGATTTCTTTGACTGCTGCTAGGACCACCAAAGGCGCTGAGTAAAGCAAGTGCTCAATGTCTGTCTCAAACTTACTCTCCATGGATGGTGAGGCTTTCACGGGATGACGTGGGCCTTATCCCGCTTTCAGCAATCCCGCAGCGAATACCGTACTGCAAGCACCCCGCATTTAGCGAAAACACATCATTGTACAGTGGTGAGAAATGTCCACAGTGCCAGTTGAATAATTTCTAGTTTCAACTATTGTCCACAACAATGCAGCCGATAGAGTCAATGGCGCTGTGAGCTCCACAACTGAATACTACCCAGGCAAAAGACTTGAAGACCTGTGGACTTGTGGATACGATTGAATATATAAAAAGGATCGTACAAATGACCGAGGGCTACCAACAACTCTTCATCATGCATAACGCTCTCAAAGTCAACGATATCGTCTACGCTATACTGCAACACGTCAAGTCCTCTAAGTCGGACTTGCGAAACATGGCGATGACCTGCTCCACGTTCTCAAATCTCGCTCTCGACATGCTATGGTCTCAACAGGACAGTTTGATACCCCTCATCCAGTGTCTCCCGCGAGACACTTGGAAAGTCTGGTGGGGTGACATTATGGTGAGTGATGTCTGCCACTTGAGTCTTGACAGGACATTGCTCACCGTACTCCAATTTGCAGGACTTTTCCCGCGAACCACTACCCACGGAGTGGGAGCGGGTCAGGATCAATGCAGCAAGGATACGCGAGTTAATCTTCACGGGGAACACCCGTAGTCCCCCGAGACCAAGTCTCCAGGTCGTACAGCGACTTTTTGAGCTCTTTCCGCCTGCTGTGTTGCTTCCCAAACTGCGCACATTGCATTTCAACACAATATCTCGGCACTGGCTGGACTTCGGTTCAGAACTCTCGTTGCTTCGCCAGTTCCTCTCGCCTAGATTGGAACGCCTCGCATATTACATACAGCCCCGCGCTCCGATGCACGAGGTAGAGCAATTGTTTGATGCTATTTTTACTCAAGCGCCTGGCCTTCGACAACTATCACTACACAGTGCCCACAAGCTTTCGGCCTGTCCTTCCAAAGCACCTAAGCTACCGAAGAAGTTGAATGTCCTATCGATTGGTCCACTCCGCATGGATCTGATGAAGCAGATCATTCCCGATATTCAGCATTTGCGCAGTCTCCAATCCCTTACACTGGCTGTGGGAAAATCATTTGATATGGCATCAGGTGGTATCCCACTTGAATTCAGTACGCTCAAACATCTGTATCTCACTGGCGCCCGCTTGGAAAATTCCACATCCTTCCTTCATAAAGTTACCATGCCACGATTGTCGGTCCTCGAAATCTCATATTACACAGCTACTGGACCAGCCGAAATCACCGCGGCCATCAAATCCTTGTCTACGTCTTGCAAAACATTTGCATTCCTTGAAAATATCACTGTCGTCGACTATTCGGAAAACCCATCCGAGGAACTTGGGCCTGACGACCAACTCCATTCCTCTATTTTTCGGCCTTTGCTCCGGTTCAGGAGGCTGTCCAGTGTCAAATTTATTGACATTGGAAAATACTGCCTCGATGACGCGTTCATCGAGGACGTTGCAGTTGCTTGGCCGGATCTTCGTACGTTGACATTCGCCTCAGACGTACCTGGCGAATATCAGGTCACCTTGACCTCGGTGCTTTCATTAGCGACCAGGTGCAAGTCGCTTCATGACCTGCACTTAACGTTCGATGCCACACATTTTCCGACACTTCCCCGTGCGCCGGATGCAAACCTGGAACTTTGGACCACGCAGACAACCCTCTGCAGGCTACATGTCGGACACTCGAAAGTGTCGGAAGCATCGTGTTTGCACCTCTTCCTAGCAGTGCTGTTTCCAAATCTAGCCGACCTCAAGTATTGTCTCCATTTCGATGGTCTTTCGGCGTGGATAAAATTAGAAAATGCATGGAGCGAACTGCTGATCGAGCGGGAAAACTCTCCAGACGAGGCAACTTCCTGGCCGAACTCCCTACTGCAACTACAGCCTTAGTCGGAGGAGGAGGACGAAGTGGAAGATAAGGAATGGGAGAGGACAAGAATGACTTAATGTGCGGATCAATAGGAGGTCTCAGTGTGACCCAGTCGAGGCTGTAGATGAAATAGTACGATATGTTAACTATTATGTACCTTTGCTCTATATATGCTTGCATATGCCTCAAAGTAGTCAAACCACGCTGTAGTTCGTTGTATTTATATGTCTAATCACCGCTTCTGATGAAGTCCTATCGTTTCACCGGGGCTTATACTAAGAGTTATAGAACGCCATGGAACATACACTCAGCTGCAGGGGCTTTAGAGCGTGTATCACGGATGCACCTGTTGTCAAAACTGATACTGCCATCCGAATAGTGATGCATAAGCACGACTTGCTGCACGAGAAACGCGAACCAAGCTTCATGCATGATACATGATCGGATTTAAATCCAGGGTTTTCGCAGGTCTACAGTTCGAGAAGGACTGTTCGTTAAACGATCAAATCTGAGATTGGCGCAAGGGCAAGGAGTCAGAAAGAACACTGCATCAAAAAATACAGTACAATAACAAGCTTCACAGAATACCTCTAATACATAAGGATATGTGCAAATACATACCTCGCAGACAACAAAAAGCCTACAAATACAACCTACAAAATCTTACTTTGGGTACCCATATGTGAATATAAACTACTTCCGAAATAATACAAACAAAAAATCGCCGAGTACCACCTTGTGCATAGATATATCTGTTCGAGGATTCCTTGGTAGTGTCACATTCGATCTGTTTCCCTCTTTCATTCGTCTCTGTACTCACTTTGTCATCTTGTCAAACTCCCAAACGCTCTGCACCGAGAACCCACGATCTACCCAAATACATCGCCCCAAATGCCCGATTCACACGGCCTCGCCACCCAGTGGTCAATACGGTCCGCGCGCCGCCACACCCACCCCGGGTGCAGCTGAACAGTGCGAAGTCCAGGACAAGTACGGTTCCATGCAATCTATGCGCAGAACATGATCAGTGCCTCCAGAACCACAATCAAAATAAAACAAAGCAGACGTACGATAAGTTCGCGAGTGTATTCGTCAAATGGCTCCGACGTTCGGGGTTCTTCAGCAGGATCAGACTTGCATTTAGATTGGAAATGTAATCTAGAGACATTACCTTGCTCGTCCATAAAGTCAATGCTGACGTCTTGGGAGAAAGGCAGCTGCTGCAGGCTGAGAACACCCTCCATCAGCGTATCAGTAATTGTATCGATGTCATGCATGTTCTCGAAGTAAGTATCGCTGACACCAGGGGCGCCATATATCGTGTCGTCATCACGCTTCCTTGCCTCAAGGACACTTTGAGGGGGCGGGGGAAGAGGGATGCGGAAGATGTGTGCGGATACGAGGTGCGGAAGAGCATACAGTGTACGCGAACCCATACCGAGTATAGTATCCTGAAAATGTGGGTCGGAGATGAGGAGGGAGAGAAGGAATGAGGGAAATGCAACGCACCTCGCTTGGACCTCCCCTTGCATACCTGACTTGTAACTTAGTTAAATTGGGAAAACGCGCGACAATAGCCAGCACAACTTCGTCATCCCAGTCCCCTATAAACAGGGAGAGCTCTTGTACCCTCGACAAGTGAGAGTGCGCTTCTACAAATACTTGGTAGAGTGGCGTGAGCACGGCTTCGTCGCGGATATCAAGCTTGATGATGCTGCGTCCAGAACAGATAGCAGAGATGGTAGATAAAGGTGCAGAAATAGCACAGAGGGCTGGAAGAGCCCTTGGTGACAATAAAAGGGCAGGAACGTGGTTTCGCAAGATGAGAGTGCGGAGGGAGGGAAGAGTCTCGAGGAATGAGATGAAGCCTGGCGGAACTCTGGAACGGTCTTTATGGATGGGGAACTTTATGTCGAGAGCAGTGAGTGGGGGAGGCGGGGAGGAAGGTGTGAAAACGCGATGTAACCAGACAGTGTGGTCATATGTGAGGGTGCGGATAGTGGGGACTTGTGCAAGCATTCGTAGACGGGTACGGGGATTGCGAGGATTAGTGTCATCGTCATTAGATGGGAATACAGCGCGGATATCGAGAAGGGTGAGGGATTGAAGTTTCAGAGAAGTGTGATCAACATCTATATAGACACCAGTGAAGTGAACGGTGCAGTGCACGACTGCTAAATCACGCAAGTTTGGAAGGTCGTGCAGAATAGAGTGTAAATCTCGCGGGAGAAGCATACCACGGAAGACGAGCTGTCTGAGGGAGGTAAAAGACGTGACTTGGGTGAGGAGATTTTCGTAGACGGTAGCGTCGGCAAGGAAGCGTGGTTGGTAGGCATCCTTGATTTGAAAGAAGCGATACCTGTTTGTTTGCCGGTTAAGGGGAATAGGTGTCCAGTCGTCAGCTTCCGCCAAGGAAACAACGGCAACAGCTTCTTTTAGCTGCTCCACGGGGCGTTCTACGATGGGGGATATACCAAGAAGAAGAGCGTGCGGTAAAGGCTGGATAGAAGACAACGCTGAGTACGCCGTTACAAACGATGTCGGAGACGTCAGAACCAGATGCTTGTAAAGAAAACGAATGGCGATTGCATGAAACCTCTTCGAGGTTAAGACAACATTACGAAGCGACTGTGAAGGTAGATGTTCGAAAATTGAAAGCCAGAGTTCATTTGGAAGCGACATTGAATAGATGACTGTCGACGAAAACGCAGCTGTAGATATCGATGGACAAAATCTTCATGCAAGATCTAAGACCAAGGTATTTAGTTACAAGGTTACTTCGTATCACGTGACTAACCAATGTGCTGTCGACGCCGACTCGGAGATATCGATAAAGACGACGACGTGCCGTCGAGTGAAATGCAAGTTCAAGAAGAGATGGAGGATAGTTGGAATATAAAACACTCGTCAGAGTGGTACTTATTTATACAGCTAGGGCCTATCAAAGGCGATATGGTCAAAAGGATAAAGGAGCTGGCCAGAATACAAGCAAATACTTGTTCACTATCAACCGGCAAAATATTGTGGCTGTGGTGATCAGCCAAATAATTATGTAAGTAATCATAGCCACTCGATAAGGACACAACACTTGTGGGAACAAGGTTGCTGCCGGCGAGCCTTTTCTATAATATTGCACTGCGTAATGTCCTCGAGTCATGCATCTTTCATTCATTCATGTTCTGCTCATAGGCTGTAACAGTGCAACCACGTCCATTGACAGTTCATGGTGGGGCCTTGAAGTTGAGCTTTGGTAAGGACTTACTACGGAGGCGCGGACAAGCCTTGGAGAGCGGGAGTGATATTTCACTTAGTATCAAGGCGAACGAAGATCTTTACAAATCCGTCCTTTACATCACTATCGAAGGCAAGTTGATTCATCCAGAAACCTTAAGGCTCACTGTGAAAACGTTCTTGCTCATCTATTCGTCACGATCATAGGCTGCCTCAGACTTTCCCGGCGAGTCTTCTGGAGAAAGCGAGACGGCTTCATATGGACTATCAGTTGCGACCAATCGTTCACCTGGCGCACCCTTTTGGCGCACTTTTCCTAGTCCAACAGCATGATCGAGGGTGTAAAAAGTCGCTGAGGACAACAATATCATTGCAAGAATCGGGGACTCTCCGACATGCATGATGGATGTGAGGATGCTCCAGGTATTGTAGCAATAGGGATTTCTGATACACTTTCATTCATATATTGACAGTACCGCTAGTAGGCATTTGTATTATACATTTGCTGACTTACTCCAGAAGCGAGCCCTAATAATTGTATCATCGAATCGTTGCTGCCAACTGAGGGAGCCAGCTGCAGCGCTGAAGCCTGAGAAGGCGTTGTTATACCAATCTTTGTCGATTGTACTCCGCCCGGATCGCCCGGCCTCCACGCGCAACAGGCTATCACTCAGGCGATAGCATCTGGTCTCGAGTATCGTGCAGTCTTTTGATTTCTCCATACGTGACCAGGATTGAAAAGACCCTCGGTGCATGATGAAAAAGGCATTATTGTCCGTAGAGACTTAACACCGGTAGGTTTCTTAATGCGACACTACGCATGAAAGATGACAAAATCATGTATCAAACCAATATACTCACCAATAACGAAAGCTTTGCCTCGCAGACTTTGGTGTTTCAGTGACACTCTGAAGCTACTTTGTGGGCAATATCCTTACTTTCCGCTGGCGGATGCCCTTCGCGTGGCGGCGGCAATGTTGGGTGGCAGAATCTCAGCCCTTCCGCCAACTCATTAGCATTGACGATGGCTATAAACAGCATTGGCTGAAATGTCTGTCCACCAATTTCAATGCTCGACCTCAAGTCCAGGAAACCGTAGCCTTCGTAGAAGTCGAGCTACAGAAGCTTCTATGACAAGTAATTCTCATCAACGGCTTTCCATACAGTTGCTATGAATACTTTCTCCGTATCGATCAGTCACTCTTGTACTTGTTACACTGATTTAAAGTCTTAAGCACGCGTGCCTGCTAAGTGCAATAACCAATAAATTAACAATTGACATTGGACAGTGGACGTCCAAGTAGATTATACGCAGAACATCGACGTTTCAACAATTAACCTACATAGAAAATGTATAACCTACAATATCGCCAAGTTCGATCTGTTTCCATATTTCCATTCCTTCATTCCCAATACCCTTTTCATCTCGATTGCCAGTTCTGCCCCCGCGCATTCCGAACTAATAATCTCCTATTCAAATCTGCGTGATTATAATCGGGGATGCTGGCCCGGATGGCCTAATTGATATCCAGCCAGTGTTACGTGCTTTTGATTCAGCATTTTTTATGATATCTGCGAGTAACCTCGCGTCGCAAGGTGGTGATTCGAAAACGTCGCCAAAAATGCCTGATTCGCACGGCCTCGCAATCCAGGAGTCAGTAGGGTCCGCGCGCCGCCACACCCACCCCGGGTGCAGTTGAACAGTGCGAAGTCCGGGACAAGCACGGTTCCAAGCGATCTATGCGTAATGATGGACATGATCAGAACACCCAAAAGCGTGCGGAACAACATAATGGACGTACGACAAGTTCACGAGTGTAATCGTCAAACGGCACCGTCTCCGACACTTGGGGCTCTTCGAACTCGGGTTCAAAGTTGCAATTATAATCCGAATTATCGACAGATTGGTCAAGAAGTTTCTGCTGCTCAACAACTTTGCACTCTTGGCACGGCGACACGATGGGAGTCCCGTGGCAACAACACACGGTGTACGTGACCATGTTCATGCCCACTGGCCCATCCAAGTCCAAGTCCATATCTATGTCTTGATAGATGGTATGAGTTGTATTGTCAGAGTTGCGAGCGTGGCGCCGGTAGGGTACGCCATAATCATCATGACCGTTATCCTGCTCCGAGCTCGTGTCTGCGTCCGGATCGATGTCATGCATGCTCTGGAAATAAGTGTCGTCGATACCGGGGGCACCGTATGCAGTATCGTCATCAATGTTGTTCGTCTCGAGGAAATTGTGAGGGGGTAGGGGAAGAGGGATGCAGAAGATGTGTACGGATACAAGGTGTGGAAGAGCATATAGTGTGCGTGAACCCATCCCGATGATGGTGTCCTGGAAATGAGGATCAGCGTCGGCAAAAACGAGAGAAATATAACGCACCTCGCTTGGCCCTCCCCTTACATACCTGATTTGTAACTTGGTTAAATTGGGAAAATGTGCGACGATGGCCAGCATAAGCTCATCATCCCAGTCCCCTACGAACAGCGAAAGCTCTTGCACCATTGACAAATCAGAGTGCACTGCTGCAAATGCTTTGTAAAGTGGCGTAAGCGCAGCCTCGTCACGGATGTCGAGTTTAACAATACTACGGCCAGAACTGAGAGAAGTTATGGCAGAGAATGGGGAAGAAACGGCACAGAGAGCTGGAAGAGCACTTGGCGACAATGAGAGTGCTGGTACGTGGTTTCGCAAGATGAGAGTGCGGAGGGAGAGAAGAGTCTCAAGGAATGGGATGAAACCCAGCGGAACTCTAGGACGGTCTTTCTGGACGGGGAACTTGACGTCGAGAGCAGTAAGCGGGGGAGATGGAGAGGAAGATGTAAATGCGCGGTGTACCCAGATGGTATGATCATATGTGAGAGTGCGGAGGGTTGAGGCTTTTGCAAGCAGACGTAGACGGGTACGGGGAAGATTTAAATCGTCGTCATCGGATCGAGAAGTAGCACGAATGTCAAGGAGGGTGAGAGTTTCGATCTTCAAGCAAGTGTGGTCAATATCTGGAGGGGCGCGGACGAAGGGAACGGTGCAGTGCACAACCGCCAAATCACGCAAGTGTGGAAAGTCGTGCACGATGGAGTGGAAATTTCCTGGAAGAATCATGCCGCGGAAGACGAGCTGTCTGAGAGATGTAAAGGAAGTCACTTGTGATAGGAGAGTGTTGTAAAGTGTCATATCCGCAACCAGGCTTGGTCGGTAGGCATCCTTGGTTTCAGAGAAAAGAGACCTGGTTGACTGGCGATTGTTATTAGCGTTGGCTGTAATTGGCTTCAACCCGTCAAAGGAAACAACGGCGACAGCTTCTTGTAGTTGCTCTACGGTCCGTACGAACGGTGAAATACTAAGAAGAAGAGCGTGCGGTGAAGGCTGGATGGAAGACAGTGAGGAGCGCGCCGTTACAAATGATGTCGGGGACGTCAGAATCAAATGCTTGTAAAGAAGACGAATAGCGACTGCATGAAATTTCTTGGACGTTAAGATAACGTTACGAAGTGACTGTGGAGGCAGATATTCGAAGATTGGAAGCCAGAGTTCATTTGGAAGTGTCATAGACGAACACATTTTCGACGAAGACGCAGCTGTCGACATTGATGACAACATCCTCATGTACGTACGAGTACGATAAATCAAGCTCCTTTGTTGATGGACACCAAATAGAGGCACACTTGTTATGGTTATTAATCGTATCGGTAAGGTGCACTAGTCATGTGACTCATGTCGGACAAAGCAAGCAAGCGGATCTGGGTATCAAAATTAGTCTCGCTTGATCCTATCAGCTAACTGTTTGGCGACATTTAGAGATATCCCGCAACGCTTCGTGAGATGACGAACAAGATCCTTGCGTCTTACATGCGAATTCCCTCTAAGTAGCTCCTTCAGCCTGCGCATGAGCGATACGAACAGGTTATCCCCTCCCATCCATGCTTGCAGCTGTCCGTCAGCGACATGTTTCTTGACAAGTTGGCGGATCGCGACGCGTGATTCTTCATAGCGGACTGCCATCTGTGTGCCAGCTTGTAGTCCATCAGCAGCAGTGATGCACGCATGACCGGCAACGTGGATTTGGTATCGTGCGAAGATATGATGTTCTCGCTCCCACCAATCCTCCATCCTCTGCTCTCTTTCGAGGTTTGTGATCGCAAGGACAATGGGAACCTTCTTCTCGCAGAGGAATTCGTAAAAAAGCCGGTAATTGCTCGAAAGAGTAGCAGTCACTCTGCCGGCGCGAATGCAGAACAGAAGCAGATCAATACCGCCTTGCTTGTGCAATTCCTTGACCAGGTGGTAGGCGTTTTCGACGGACATGAGGTAGTCTTTGATTCCAAGGTCCGGTTCTTCGAGTCCAACGGTATCGAATACCTTATAAGACTCTCCATCGAAGTCGATGAAATATTCTTTCCAACGGAGCGTGCATCTTTCCATGCTAGGAGATGTCTCTGCTACATTCTCTCCTGCCATAAGGTTTACGACTGAGCTTTTGCCAGCTCCGCTCGCTCCAAAGAGTACGATATTCTTTCTAATTATTGATGTTTAGCAAAATACGGCGTAATGCGTGTCTGACGATGAAGCACGTACATCGGGCAATTCTGTTCGATAAGGTTACAGACGGCATGGTATGACTGTTCGCGGCGCTGCCTGACCTTATCTGTATCACATGCATTGATGGTCAACGCGGTAATACACGCATGGCCAGCAAAGTCCATCCCGGAGTATGAGATAGATGCCTGGTTTCTCTTCCACCACTCTTCCATTTCCGGTTCTCGGTCTTCCAGTCCTGTAACGACAAGGACGACGGGAACATTTCGCTTGAATCGGGACAATAAGTCGTAGTTGCGCCGGAGCGCCGGGGCATTCTTTACGCCCTGTACACAGTACACAATGATATGTATTTTCATATGAGTTTGAAAGAGTCTCTTCAAAGCATGCTCAGCTTGCGGATTGGGGACCGTTCCCTGAGCGCCCTCGTCAAGACCTGTAAATTAGTTTAGTGGCGCTCACAAAAAATAGCAGACTACACTGACCGGCCGTGTCGAACAGTTGTACCTTTAAGGTCCTGTTCTCAGTCACGACATCATACCCGTACACGGTGGTTTGCCTTGTACATCCCTCGGCGTCGGGGGACGTCCGCGCCACCTGCTTCTTGGTAATCAAGTTGATCAAGGAACTTTTACCAGCGCCTGATTGTCCATAAATGACAATATTGTAAGTGTCTTTGCGACGTGAAGCGTCCTCGAGTTCGAGGTATTTGCAGCCAGCTGCACTCTGATCTAGGATGTGGGACTGACTCCAAGTTAACTTCATGCTGAGGAAAAGCCAGACACCACATACTGAGTCGGTGGACGATGCTCTCCCAAGAGTCGATAACATTGTAATTGAATTGGAAACGACAAATAGGTGTCTTGTCTTGCATTGCGAGTCGGTGTTTTTGAATGTCGATAGTCCTGCCCTCAGTCCCTGATTCGTTAGAATATGACGTGTCCAGGCGCCAGATCTAAAGACCGATCCCAACGCTTGGATTCAACGTGTTCCAAGCATGTAACAACAGCACTGCGATGCGTCACGTACTTAGTTTCTGGATGCATTAAGGCCGGAGGACCCTGGTTCAACCCTCAGACCTTCAGTCCCTCTAGTATTAGTAGTCAGGCCGGTCAGAGGAACTAGTACTTAGAGCGTGACAAGTCCAGGCGCCAGATTTGAACATCGATCGCGACTCCTGGATACAGCATGATCAATGCATGTGAGAATGACAAGGGACAACCGTGACGATGATACAGTCTGTCTGTACTAGTACAAACTCATTACGGTAGGATATTTGTTTGAAACTTTGGTTCCCAGTGGAGCAATCAACTTCGGCTAACTGCCGTATTGGTCTAATCGATTCAGCTGGTTGAACTTATTTGTTGGGGAGATTCGTATGCTTACCTAGTAAGCAGTGAACACTCAGCTTGCATATCGATGTATGATCTGGAATGTATTTTTGTGTAGGAGGGTGTCGTTGTCCAAGGTCAAGATTTGCCCGATCGTGTGTAGACTCGGATCGGTTGTCACGGGCTCGGGAAACTACTGGGAGAATGAACCCTGGGTCCATGCAGGAAACTTGCAAGCGAAGGTACTAGGGCATGACAGCATGTGTGGAGCAGAAAGGTCTCAGTCGACTTATAATTAAAGACCGATAGCCTGAACTTTGATATGTAATATTATGTAAACGGTTATCCTGAATTCAGCTGAGCCGGCCTGATCGGCGGACATCGAGTGGCAGGAACAACTATTAAGTTTACATAATTTGTTATAGTGTGACCCTTCTGGTGGTTTTGCAGAATGATTTACAGAATATTATGTAATGTACTATTATGCATCCGCATGTCGATGGGCCTGCTTGGAACATGCTGAATCCAGGCGTTGGGATCGGCCTTAAATCTGGCGCCTGGATGTATATCAGGCTTTAATGAATCATAGCTGAAGGTAAGACTATTGGCATTCAAAAACATCCACTTGCAACACAAGTCAAAATACTCCTTTCATTGTCCTCAATCTTTGCAATGGCGTCGTCTCCTACGAGACCGTTGTTCACCGTATGTAGTGTCTGCTCTTCTCAGTATAACGTTAACTCGAAGTCAGTCCCACACCACAGATGACGGGGTAACTAGCAGCAACTCCCATGCAGTCGATACTGCGCTGATATCAATCATCTCATGTAACGCAATGGCGCTGGCGTACTTCAACACACCGTATTCTAACAGACCATCGTCCCCCGTATGTAGTGTCTGCTCTCCCTCAGCGTGACGTTAACTCGAAGTTAGTCCCGCACATCCGATCACAGTGCAGTTCCCTGCAAATACCTTGGACTCGAGGAAGCTTCACGTCGCAAAGACACTTGCAATGTTGTCATTTTTGGACAAACAGGCGCTGGTAAAACTTCTTTGGTCAACTTGATTACTAAGACGCAGGCGCCGGTATCAGCATCATGTACAACGAATCCAACCGTGTACGAGCATGATGTTGTGGCTCACAATAGGATCATGAAGGTACAGCTGTTTGACACAGCCGGTCAGTGTAGTTCGTCACTCTTTATGGGGTGTCACTGAATTGGATCGCAGGTCTTGATGAGGACTCTGAGGGAACGGACAAGCAAGCCCAGACGGGCCTGAAGAAGCTCCTTAGAACTCTTATGACGAAAGGGGGCATTCATCTTCTCGTATACTGTGTGCAGGGCACAAACGACGCCTCGGCACTCCAGCGCAATTACAAGTTAATGGACTCCGAAGTGAAGGAAAGAGTCCCTGTCGTCCTTGTCGTTACAGGTCTGGAAAACCGAGAACCAGACATGGAAGAGTGGTGGAGGAGTAACGAGAGATCCATCTCAGACCTCGGGATGAAGTTTGCTGGCCACGCGTGTATTACCGCATTGACCATCAATGAAGGTGTTATAGACAAGGTCAAGCAGCGCCGCGAACAGTCATACCACACCGTCTGCGACCTTGTCGGACAGTGTTATTCACATGATGGGACGGGGGTGCCTAATATGCATCCTGCAAGGTGCGTACTTCGTCGCCAGATGCTCCTTGTACCGTACTTCGCTAAACATCGATAAATTAGGAGGACTAAAAACATCGTACTCTTTGGGGAGGCGGGTGCAGGCAAAAGCTCGGTCGTCAACCTCATGGCAGGAACAGAGGTAGCAAAGACATCTCTTGGCATACAACGCTGCACGCTCGATTGGCAAGACTATGTCATCGGCTTCGATGAGGAGTCTTATAAGGTGTTCGATACCATGGGCATCGAGGAATCGGGACTTGAAAAGAAAGAGTACCTCGCGGCAGTCGCAAACGCTTATAGGTTCATCAAGACGTTGGATGCGGAAGGCGGTGTTGACCTGCTTCTGTTCTGCGTTCGCGCCGGCCGATTCACCGCTGCGCTTCAGAGCAATTACAGATTCTTTCATGAATTCCTCTGTGACAAAAAGGTTCCTATTGTTCTCGCAATTACGAATCTCGAAAGAGAGCAGAGGATGGAGGACTGGTGGGAGCGAGAACATGGCATCTTCGCTCGATATCAAATTCACGTTGCTGACCATGCGTGCATAACCGCTGCTAACGGATTGGAAGGCACACACCAACAATTTTATGAAGAATCGCGTGTCGCGATGCGCAACCTTATCAAGCGGAATATCGCTAGCAAGCACAATGATGTATGGACAGGAGGGAACAAAGTGTTCGTGGCGTTAATGCATGCGCTGAAGATTTTTGGAAAGAATCGGTATATCAGAAAGAACGCCCTTATCGGACAACTGAAGCGTTGTGGCATGTCCCCACAAACCGCGAGACAACTGGCCGATGTGATTGAGCAAGGGGAGGTGACTACTTGACTTACGTTTTCTCGTGCTTTTATACTTGCGGATCGTCGCTGAAGGATACATCATTGACATATGTGACTAGGCGTTTTTTATCTACAAATTCTGCCAATTTGAATATGAACGTTCGGGATAAGTTAAGGTTGAAAGCTTATATAATCCATTTCGCTCAAAATGATCGATCATCGCACGCCGCATCAACGTTTCAACAAATAGCATCGCACACGCGAAAACTGCCTGGCCATTTCATTAAACTAAATTCCGCAGCCTTTCGCTCCCTCACTAGGCCTCACTTTTCAACTCATTTACAGTGTATTGCATATCAAACTGCAATACGAAACGCACTGAAACAAGTACGACATCCAGGGGACCGTGACAAGCCTTGACTGAGACTGGATGATCAAGATTTTCAGCAGTAAAACGCGTTCGTACCGTACTGTACCGAACACCTGCACATGCCTAATCAGGGTTTCACGCGATAAACACGTTTAGTGGTGGTACTCCATATAAAACCCAGATATCACTTGCTAGACACCAGCTTTAGGGTCTTACATTCCCGTCTCTCCCCTGCACCATTCAATTTAAGAGTGAATCACGAAAAGTAATGTCCAAGGAGCTGAAACTGGCCGCACCTGGTAAGGAACTCGGTGGTTCACTAAGTAATATTGAGACGGCCAAGAACTATGTTGTCCAACGTAGTCTTTTGCGCTCCGTTTTTATAGTCGTCACTTGTACCGCCGCAATGATTGTCAATGTTAGTGTCTACCATACCTTCACTTGCTGGTCTTTTGTGACATCTTTTTAAACTGTAGGTATTCAATACCACCTCTGTTTCTATCTCACTCCCTACGATTGAGAAGGATCTAGCTATCGAGGAAGATAAGCTTCAGTGGCTCGTATCCGCCTATTTTCTCAGTTCTGTGCGTTGCTGTTTCTATTCTACTTCCATTTTGTCTATCTCAACATGACGGCTCATCTCGTGTTAGAGTTGCCTTCTCTTGTACTCCGGCAGGTTGGCGGATCTTTATGGTCGAAAAAAGGCGTTTATGATTGGTACTCTTTGCCAGGCTACCTTTTCTCTTGGTTGTGGGTTTGCACAGGGTTGGTGTGCCTTTCCAATCGTTCGCGTGCTCCGTCCACTAACAATGACATTACAGATGGTGTCACTCTCGCCGTCTTGCGTGGCTTCCAAGGCCTTGGAGGCGCCGCTACAATACCATCCTCAGTAAGTTCTTCTGAGATGTTTTTGATACAAAAGTACCCATTCACTTTCTCAGCTCGGTATCCTAGCGCATGCATTCCCTCCGTCAAGAGCACGTTCAATAGCATTCGCTACCTTTGCAGCAGGTGCTCCTGTCGGTAGCGCATTTGGCATGATTATTGGTGGTGTCCTGACCGAGCTTACCTCGTGCGTTATGATTATTGATACATGCTGTATTTCTCACGCTGTCCCCCAGGACGCGTTGGCGTTCTATATTTTATTTGGCTACAGCAACTTCAGCTCTTATTGGAGTTTCCGGTCTGATCTCATTCGATGCTGACGTTTCCTCGTCGGAACTTGTCAAACGTGTGGACTGGATCGGCGCTTCGCTTGTCACAATTGGGTTGGTTTTGATTGTATTCGTACTTGGTCAAGGAGAAAACGCTTCAGATGGGTGGAAAACCCCATGTAAGAATGTCGCTATGTGTACGATACCAACTATTGACTAAAATCATCGACAGATATAATCGCGCTCCTGGTCGTCGGAGTCATCATGGTTGCATTATTCCTGGTTTGGGAGTGGAAGCTGGAACGGATCATCGACGAGGATCCATCAAGAGCGACATCCATGTGGACACCGCCACCACTTATGAGGCTCTCGCTCTGGACTAGGGCAAAGGGCCGAATGACTGTTATTTTTGTTATTGCATTCTTAAACTGGGGTGCTTTCTCCGGCTGGAGCTTCTGGGTTCAGGTATGTTCACGTTCTACTTCCCTAGGAAAATGATATAATCGACTATATTCTAGCTGTATTATCAAAACTACCTGTTGTTGACAGCGGTCGAAAGTATGGTCCGATTCATTCCCATGCTTGTTGTTGGCTGTTTATGCAACTTTTTTGTGGCGATGGTCGTTGCCAAACTGCCTTTGGTTATCATTATAGGCAAGTGTCTATCTGTAGAATATGACCATGTGAAGCTGACTCGTGGTCCAGTCACCGGCTCGCTCTTGATGGCAACTGCTACCATCCTGTTTGCCGTAATCGACCCGTCCGTAACATACTGGGCTTTCGGTTTCCCGTCCACAGTGCTCATCATTCTTGGTGCTGACATCGTGTACTCCTCCGGTACAATTTTCCTTGCCAGAACCTCGCTCCCACACGAACACAGCGTAGCCGGAGCGCTATTCCAAACTATGACACAGGCAAGTCCCGTGAAATAACCAACGCTATCCTATGCTAAACTGACATGTCTTTGGTTAGATCGGCGCCACATTCGGTCTAACTGTATCTACGATCGTGTTCAGCACTGTGGTTGATAGGGAATCTGCCAAGCTCGGCGTCAATGTAAACTCTAGCGGTACCAACGCGCCCATGTCCGCACAACTCGTGGGGTATAAAGATGCGCAATGGACCTCTGCTGCGTTTGCCTTGATGGGTGAGTACTGCGAAATTGTCTTGTTGAGAGCGTATCATTGACAATTTCTGTAATTATAGGTGCTCTGCTAGCAGTGCTTTTCCTCCGCAGTGTCGGTATCGCTGGACACCAGAAGGTTATTAGACATTTTGATTCTGATTAGACCGTGGCTGGACAACCTGCGTCTAACGGTGCTGAGATACCCACGCCCCACTCGGTAAGATATCGGTATCCTGTATCCCATCAAGGACGACAGACACTGATCCCATTACGAACTCGTATATGCCCCCCTTTGCATTTATCCCCGACTGTACGAAGTGGTCAGGTTTTGTCAGACGTGAACACCATGGAAGTGGGAGATATTGCTGGTGTCTTTGGATGTTAGAACTACTGCTGGCACCACAGAAGTAGGAAGTGCTGCTGGTGTCTCGGATGCGAGAGTTATTGCTGCTGGTGCCACGGATGGGTGAAGCTGGTAGGTATGACTGGCTAGTTAAAAGGCAGATCCTACCAATTTGGACCCAATGGCGCATTACATAAATAAGTCCGTCATAGACATGCGATCCAAAGTGGCAGAGTGAAACAACTCCAAGCTGGACGAGGAAGTTGCTGTATATCCCTCTGGCATGGGACGAATGGGTCCGTTGTTCTCAAACAATGATTTCGAGCCAGAGATACTCAAGAGCAGAGAAGAAGTCGCACTGCTGATCATCGAATGTATCAGTCTTGCTGGAGTTAATCGGCATTGGAGACAATGTGATGTTTGCAGTGCTTTTGAAAGGTTGAGGAGCTTGAGTGGGGTTAGACTGCAAAGTAATTTTTATCAAATTCACGTTTGGCCAACTACGTGAAGACCCTGCGCATTTATATAATGCGGCTTGAGACATCGCACTGATATACGAGATATAACTGTTTGCAAATATGTAGTATATGTGCCGATTCATGAGGGTAAGGCCGTATTACTAGTCTACAACGACAGTGTACTATAATCGGATAAGGCATAAGTTCAATGAGAGGTCATGCTACGTTTTGCTTGATCATATTAGCCAACTCTTTTGCAACGTTCAGAGATATACCACAACGCTTCGTGAGATGAGGGACAATATCCCTCCTTGTCAGATGCGAACCCCCTGTAAGTAACTCCTTCAGTCTGCGCATCAACGACACGAACAGATTGTCCCCTCCCGTCCATGCCTGCTTCTGCCCGTCGACAGTAAATTTCTTGACAAGGTTGCGGATCGTGATGCGCGATTGTTCATAAAGGACTTGGTGTCTGCCGTCCAACCGATTGGCGGCAGTGATGCACGCATGACCGGCGACCTGTATCTGATACTTGCCGAAAGTAGCTCCGTGTCTCTCCCACCAACTCTCCATCCTCTCCTCTCTTTCGAGGTTCGTGATCACAAGAACAATTGGAACCTTCTTTTCGCAGAGGAATTCGTGAAAGAGCCGATAATTGCTTTGAAGTGCAGCAGTGACTCTGCCGGCGCTAAAGCAGAATAAAAGTAGATCAATGCCGCCTTGTCTATCCAATTCCTTGATGAGCCGATAGGCGTTTTCGACAGATTCGAGGTACTCTTTGATTCCCAGCTGCGGTTCCTCAATCCCGATGGTATCGAAAACCATATATGAGTCACCATCGAAGTCGACAGTATGCTCTTTCCACTGCAATGTACAGCGTTCCGGGCTAAGAGATGTATGTGCTACCTCTTTTCCTGCCATGAGATTGATGACAGAGCTTTTGCCTGCTCCCGTCGCCCCAAAGAGTACGATAGTTTTAGGCCTGTCCTCGCTTGTTAATATTGAACAATACGGATCTTCATCTGGAGACTACATGCCTACCAGGAGTATCCGGCCTGGTCCTACATATCAATATAAGACAACTACAGTACGAAGAGCACCTGAAGACTACGTACTGTAAAGTCATTTGGAAGGGATGCTCCTCAGGCTGATAGGCTCAATTGAAGTATTCGGCCGACGCTTGATGATGCGGCAGTTCTTATAAGGACAGACACATACTTGCAGGAGATCACGTTTCTTGGACCCATCCTTCAGACGCCAACTCGTGGAATTGAAAAAGGCACCTGCCAGATTCTCGAACAACTCGAGGCAAACTCATGTTGGACTCGAGGATTTGATTGATCACCTTTCTTGGAAATCGAATCTCGCGTTCATGGTGTGCGTTGATCACGTATAACGCAGAGCTGCAATTACGGCAAAACTGCGTGTAGGGCTATTTCTTTTGGTCCCTGCATAAATTTGTACTGTTTCCGAGTGCCAAGCCACCTGCCTGACTCGTCTGCATCCCAACATCGGGCTGAAGTTTAGTAGAGGAACACTTCGGAACAGTGTTGTTACTAACCCGGGTTAAATTGAATAGTACTAGGTCATGACCAGTTTGGTGTGTCCTGCTCGGAATCAACTAACTGGGGTTGACGAGGTTAAACAACAGTTAATTAGCTAGTCGTCAATAACGATCAGATCTGGCTCGATGGACATGTGATGGCAGGTCTTGACTTGTACGTCGTAATATCATCCTGATTAGTTGAACGTCGGACTTTGATTACTTGGACGTCCAGGTGCCAGATTAGGGAAAATTGACTACGACGCATGGATACTGCATGTTCCATACGTACGCTGTTGGGATGGCGTAAGAGCCATGCATTATTGGGTTGTGGGCTAATATTGTATGTTAGTTCTGGATTAGGGTATATAATTAGCAATGCGGCAGGGTGTCAACGTTAACGTTAACGTTCAACCGATACACAAACGCCAATTTTCTCTTTGAAAAAGCGGTGCCAGAAACTTGATAGTAGCAACATGCGTGGTTTAATGTGCTTGCAATCGCTGTGGCTTGAAGCTTGAAGCCTGAGGCCCGTAAAATCTTGCTGTGATGGGAGCCTGAACCCAGGCAGGGTACTTCCACAAGTCCCTGTAAGATTGATACATCAAGCTTCCACCTGTGTGTCACCATGGCCGTTACTAATTAGACACGGGATGAGATTTGCTGGCCACACCTGCCTGTATTACCGCGTTGACCGTTAATGAAGGTGATACAGATAAGATCAGGCAGCGTCACGAACAGTCATACCGCGCCGTCTGCAACCTTGTCTAACTGTGTTGCTCGCAGTCCTCCATCCTCTGCTCGAGGTTCGTAGTTGCAATAACGATGGGAACCTTCTTGTGAGAGGAATTCATGAAAGATCCGTGATTGCTCTGAAGCGCAGTAGTGATTCGGCCAGCGCGAACGCAGAACAGAAGCAGGTCAACACCGCCTTCCGTATCCAACGTCTTGATGAATCTATAGGCGTTTGCGACTGCTGCGTGGTATCTTTGCTTTTCAAGACCCGAATCCTCGATGCCAATGGGATAGTCTACCTTGCAGGAGGAATAACAGGAACCCTGTGAAGCCCCGTCCCATTCTGGTGGAAGCGAGGGCGTAGCATCTTCACTCGATACTAAATTCACGTTGCTGGCTATGCGTGCATAACCACTGCCAACGGATGAGAAGGCATACCATACACCAACAACTTGATGAAGAATCGCATGTCGTGATCCGCAACCTCGTCAAGGAGAATTTCGCATGGACAGGAAGGAACAAGATGTTCATATCGTTAATGCACGGCTGAAGATTCTTGTAAAGAATTTGCGTATCAGCAAGAGGACCTTGCCTGTCAACTGAAGCGTTATGGATATCCTGAAAAACTACAGGGCAGTTGGCCGATATGATCGAGCAACTACCTACTTGACTTGCGTTAGTAAACTCACCCAATTTGAATATGAACAAAAATATCGTTCGGGATGGAGTAAACTGTTTTTAGAAATTTGCCGCCACCGACGGTGGGAAATTCACGGCATTCCATCGCCTTCGAAGGTCAGCAAGTCATTCTGGCGGTGACGGATATGGCCCTTTACACTCTCTTCAGCTCGCGCTGAATACACTCAGGGCTACTTAAGGGTCGAAATGTCAGAGATTCAACCCATGATCGCGCCGCAGGAGGACGGCTCTGGTAGTGTACCAGAAACAGTACACGAACCACCACAACCGACGCCCATCACAGACCAAGAGGTGGGAGAGTATCGGGAGCAGGATCGTTTTCTACCCGTGCGCACTATCGTTTATCTGGCTTGATTGACTTGTTTATCTTTCTGATAGATTGCAAATGTCTCCCGTATCATGAAGCAGTCCGTTCCACACACCGCTAAGATTGCCAAGGATGCCAAGGAGTGCGTTCAGGAATGTGTTTCAGAGTTTATAAGTTTCATTACTTCTGAGGCCGCTGAGAAATGTCAGATGGAGAAGCGGAAAACGATCGGAGGCGAGGATATCCTGTACGCCATGGTGTCTCTAGGGTTTGAGAACTATGCGGAAACGCTGAAAATTCATCTGGCAAAACTGAGACAAGTGCGTATTTTTTCCGTAACATGCTTCATGGGTTGTATTGAAACTTGCGTCAGCACCAAGCAGGATCCTCGTCGAACCCGCGACAAGAGCATAGAGAAGATTGATTCTACTTTTTTGTACCTGTACTATTCGTGTACCACCGTATCAACTACTTTCGCAATGTCTATGTTTTGCAGCTCACCTTGCCGCTTTCCATGATGCGATCGCCAATGCCCGAAGTCGACTTGGAAGGTTGAGTGCGCGACGGCAGCGTTGCTCAACAACTCACGGTGCTTACTGAGGTGTCTTGGGCCATATTTCCTTAGCACGCTCCCGCAGCGGCTGATAGCAACACATGTACGCATTCCAGACACTATCCAGTACTATGATTTTCCGGGTAAGAATTCGAGATTAAAATCTATCACGGTCAATTCACGATAATTAATCACGAGTATTCTAAGGGTGATGGAATAACCTCTCGGCAAATTCCGTGCCAAACTCCGACACATCATCTCAACTACACGACCAGCGTCAACGACGTCGACGGACACCCTCAAATAATTCCCCATGACTGTAAGTCGCTGTTCTGTGTATCTGAACCCCTTGATCAAGCATTGTACCACTTCTGATATCGGTTTCGATCGAAACTGGTCGAGTTTGAGATGGATGGAGGTGCCACATATCCGATGTAGTCAACACAGTGGTGCAACACTCATATCACATGGCACATAGCGAACAATCGTTGTCTTTCGGGTGCTTGATTGAATTAGATTCTAATAATGCTATTCACTTGTAGGACTCGACTTTCAAACGTTTCGTAGAGGTTGGACGAGGTACGATTGTTTATGACTTGTGCTACACTGAACGAGCTAAAGTATCAACAGTGGTCCTTCTCAAGTCTGGCCCATCTGCAGGCAAGATCGCTGTCATTGCTGAGATCATAGACCACAACCGGGTGTGTACAATGATATAATACGCAAGAATAAAAACTGATCTCATACTATCCTGCCAATGTATAGGCAATCATTGACGGCCCAACCACCGGCGTACCGCGCCAATCCTTCCCCTACCGCCACCTCACCCTCACCCCTATTGCTCTAACAAAACTTCCTCGCGGCGCAGGGTCTGGTGTTATCCGGAAGCAAGTGGAAAAGGAGGGTACCGTCGCTAAGTGGGAATCCTCAACATGGGCCAAGAAGCGTGCTGCCATGGAGAAGAGACGATCACTGAACGACTTTGAGCGGTTCAGCGTGATGGTCACAAAGAAGCAGCGGAGAGATGTCGTCAGGAAGACCCTGGCCAAGGCTGCATAGAGGATGTACGCATACAAAATATTGGACATCTTGGTGGGATGTCGCGTCCCTGCATGATCCACATTTCTCTTACATCCGTTATGCCCACCATGATATATGCATGTGCGTTATATTGCTAACCATTCGCCTCGAAGTAAGATCTATCATTCTCAACTAGTCGGCTTGTCCTGGGCTTGAGTGAAACCCCTTCTTGCTCTTTCGACCGTTGCTTCTGCCTCCACCTCTACTAGAGCAGCTGATGCCCAACTATTAAACCCTCCCTTGTCGAACGCTTCTCTAAGGCGGTCCTCTGCTTCTTGCCAATTCCATCTCACAAGTTCAGAAACAGGGTTTTCTGTCAGCGCAGAATCATTACCATCGTCCTGGTGGGTTTCAGCTGGACGATATATTTGGTATGAGAGGACGGGTAATTTGGTCAGCACCGCATGGCGCATACGTTCCGCAAACTCGTTGGCCTAAGCATAGGAAAAAGTTGCTTGAGTTTCCAGAAAGAAGAGTCATGAGATTGTAAGGACGCACATCACGGGCATTGAGAGTTTTCATTACTCCCCAAATAGAGGCTGTGGCACCTAGCGTCACAAGAGCAGTAGCGATGCTAAGGGCTTTGAGGGTGTACAGAGGACCGTTGAAAAATTGTTCAGGGTTATCTTCATTCAATACAGATGTTTTCGGAGGCGGCAGACTGAGTAGGAACCTCCTTTAGTACCGTTTGTGAGGCAGGGCGGGATCGTATTGCAGGTGAATGCAACGAAACGGGCAGCGTTGATGATCCTCGCCCTCGCCGAGGAGGTGCAGTAGCTTCTTGTAGAAGCTTGGGAGTGACACCACGCCTATATCGTCGTAGCATGATGATCGGCACTACAAGGGCTACGGATGAAAAGGCCAGCTGTGGTACATATGAACTGCCAGTCCATACAAGTAATTGAATCGGACCGGGCAACTCACCAAGGTCACTGGAACCCATTTCGGAACTTGGTGTTTAGTTCCAAAGATACTTGTCCGTATACCAGTAAAACCGTCTTCCTTTGTATCGTCGGAAGATGTGGTTTGTCGCGTCATTCGCGCTAGTAAAATGTCACCAAGCGCCGAGAGGAAGTGTAAAGAAAAGAATCACGTGGTGTCGACACATGCTTGATCTACTCAATACTACTACGAGTAATCCTTCAAATTTGTTCCGAATTATCGCTCTGGCCAAACGCAAACGCTCAAGCCTTTGATTGTCATCCGCGACAATAAGTAGCGCTCACTTGTGAGTATTCATGGTAGTGTTCATCCACAGTTGCTAAGTCACATTTTCATTTCGACCGCACTGTATCATAGCACCCATCGGCATATCGTCTTTGGTTTGACTCGTCACCGGTGGCTCGACGCACCATGTCTGACCCACGATTTGCGCGGTTGAAGACTGACCCCCGTTTTCGACGCCCCAAGAAACACAACTCAAAAGTTGTAGTTGACGAGCGTTTCAAAGAAATTTTTGATGAAGACAAGGCGGGAAAGAAGAAATCGAAACAAAAAGGCAAAGGAAAGGACAAACAGGGTGCGCCTCAAACTTAATCTCCTACTACTTCTCACCTTATGCTGTGGCTACAGGTCGAGTGGATAAATTTGGTCGAAAAATTTCTGAAACTCATGAAAAGGACAACCTCAGGCGGTTTTATCGGCTGGAACACGAAGAAGACGAGGAGGCAGAGGCTCCAACTCCCACAATACCTGACTATGCTCGTGGTGGCGTTATCATGGAGTCCTCCTCCGAATCAGAGGCGGAGAGTGAGGATGCAGGTGACTCTGGCGGCGAGAGCGATGACCCTGGATTTGTCACATTAGGCAGGGACCTTGATGAAGAAGGCGAGATCGATCTTGATGAGAGCGTATTTGCCGATCTGGATGTACAGGCTGCTGCATATGCGAGGACAGCCCCGGAGGACAACAGTGAAGAAGCGATGGAGAAGACCAGAAGACTAGCTGTTGTTAATCTTGATTGGGACCATGTCCGTGCAGCGCACCTTTACAAAATATTCTCGTCACTTGTTTCGCCAGCCGCGCCTGCTACCCTTCGGACGCCTGTGCCAATGCAACCCAAGGATGAAAAGTCTATCGAGAACACGAAAAGCGCAAAGGCGACGATCGCAAGAGGGAGGGTGCTGAGCGTCCGCGTCTATCCAAGTGAGTTTGGGAAAGAGCGCATCACAAGGGAGGAGAAGGAGGGACCACCTGTAGAAGTATTCAAAAAGAAGCTAGAAAAAGAAGAGGATGTCAATGAACGCACGATTCACGAAACCGGAGACGGAGCGGACTACGACGAAGACGCTTTGAGAAAGTATCAGTTGGAGAGATTACGGTGCGCTACCTCACATATTTTTAGCGCAGTGTTCAATGAAATGTTCAAAGGTATTATTACGCAATTGTTGAATGTGATACCGCCGAAGCTGCTGTGCACATCTACAACGAACTTGAAGGTACTGAGCTTGAGCGTTCAGCAAATGTGTTCGATCTCAGTTTTGTGCCCGATGAGATGGCATTTGATGAAGAATATCGGTGAGTCCCTTTTGACATTATTTGTGGACATTCATCTAACCGGAGCCATGTACAGCGATGAGGCAACAGATGATCCTGGAACACGTTATCGAGCAGTAGAATTCGTGACAGATGTAGGGGAATTTCATCGTTATCATTTATTTTTCACTCATTTTGCACTTTCAGGCTCTCCGTCATTCAAAAGTCAAGCTCACGTGGGATGACGATGATCCGGAGCGCAATCACATTACTAGACGATCACTGTCAAAAAAAGAGATCGAAGAAGCCGACTTCAAGGCATATATCGCATCGTCGTCATCGTCTGAATCCGATAATGATCCAGATTCTGTATCGAGGAGGAGCAAGAAGAACACCCAGAGAGACAAGCTTCGCACTTTGCTTCTTGCCGGAGACGATGACGAACTTCCAGAAGGGTGGGGCCGGGATGACGAGGCAGGAAAACATGATGATATTGACATGGAGATCACGTTTGCCCCTGGTCTCACTGAGGCCAAAAATCTTGAAGACGAAACGACAATGGAGGCTTATCAAAGAAAAATGAGGGAGAAGCGTAAAAAAAGAAAGGAAGAGGTTAAAGTAAAAGCTACGACAGTCACGAATAACGAAGGTGAAGGGCGGCCTGGGAAAACAGTCTCTTTCGATGACGACTTCTTCGAGGGCATAAGTGCCAGCGGCAGTGAAGGAGAATCTAAGGCAGAGAGTGCATCGGGGTCGGCGAAGCGAGTGTCAAGAGAGGAGGTCGACAAGTCAGTGCCACGCGAGGAGATGAGGTCAGACGTCAAAGTGGAGAAGAAGGGCAAAAAGAAAAGGGGAAAAAAGAAAGTGATCGATGATGATGAAGTCCAGGACGACTTCATTATCGACGTTAAAGATGATCGGTTCAAGGCAATCCACGAGGATTATCAATTCGCCATCGATCCCAGCAATCCCCGGTCAGTCCCTGTTCTTTACGCTACCCAATGACACTGATGTGTTCACAGCTTCAAAAAGACGAAAAGTATGGTGGCACTTATTGACGAACGAACTAAGCGCCAAAAAGGGAGTCTACCTGAAGATGAGACAGGCGCACGACTCCCCGCGAGGGTGGATGACACTAGCCTCAAGAACCTCGTTGAGAGCGTCAAACGGAAAAGTGCAGCGGCTGGTCAGGGCGGATTTGGGAAGCGGCGTAAGCTATAACCTCGATTTTTTCTACGTTTGTCCTCAGTTTGTCGGTGAGACATGCCACGAATACTCAGCGTCATCATACTTATTCTCTCAGTTATTTTCGCGGTCATTACATAGGCATGATGCATGAATCTTCATGGGCCAGGGATATCGATTTGCGAGTAAAGCTAAATTAACGACGATAGCATTATCACAGCTAGGCTTTTGTGTCAGAGCAGACGGCGAGGTGCACTTGGTTGAATGGCGTTCAAGTGCCCGTGCGTCACACAAAAGGAGCTAGCTCAAGGTCATGATGCAATCATCATCGTCCTTGGCCTCGCACCTGTAATTTCGTTCTCATCCAACCCGACTCATGCTCCGATTCATTCCAGGGGAAAGTCCCCACAGACGGTCCCACGTATTTTTCCCGTTCATAGGCAACATGTGTCGAGTTCGGTGCTTGTGCCTACATTCGTCTGGGCTGCTACTTTGAGTGGACACACTGGTGTTTTGTGTTCGGTCTTGACTGGCCTTATGAGTAGTCAAATCAAACGTCTCAAGATGTAAGATATATTTGAGTACGGATTACATGCGCACCAGTAGATGCAGGATAAGTAAGATACAAGCTAACACCGATTATATACAAATGTACTCATCAGAATTGATGGTCTCCTGCAGAGTCATAAATCGAGCTATTCTAAATGTCTATAGTCACCACCATCTAATCATCGACTGCCTCTCTCAGCTTGTGTATTTACCCAAATCCCTCTTCTCCACCAAGCTCTACCACGTCCCAGCCATCTTCCTCTTCTACGATACGTTCACTCCTCATCTTACTGATGCCAGCTTCTTGCGCTGAACGTCCCGGCCGTATTCGTGCTGCTCGAGCAGGACTAGCAGCAGTGGCTTGAAGGACCTGGGCAAAGTCGAGCGTGAACGAGGGAGGGGTTGGAGGTAAGAGGAGCGGGGTGGTGGAGTGCGACCGACTACAATGGGAGATCAACATAAGAACGTGTATTTCGGATAACAGAATGAATAAACGACGAAAGAAGAATAAAGCGCCGGAGACTCACCGCCCAAGCTCTCCGCTGCAACATACCGCCCATAAATTACTCAACGCATCGCCCGCCTGTGACAAGGGAATCTCGACACCTTGGCTATGAGCGAGATAACACACGTTGTAGAGAAGCATTGCGAGGCCGGTCGTGAACGATTGGTTTTGGCCATGTGCTGATACCTGTTCTGGAGCCTCTGAGTCAGCTAGTGAAACGGGTAGCGTAGGAGATGGGGAGGAAGAGGGAGAAGAGGCAGTAGAGGAAGGATTTGATGTGAGGTGAAGAGGGTGTTTGGCTGTCCATCTATCCGTAGGAGATAATGATGGGTGAAAAACTCAAGCTGTAAATACAGTAAGTGACGCACTTTGCCCAGGATTCCGTCCCTTGTCCTGCTCCGATCCAAGGCATACCGACACCGAATCTTCTGCAAGACCACGAAACTTCAAAAGGGAGTTTGATGCCTAGGTAGAAAGTAAGAAGTCCCAGAAAGTGAATGGTATGTGTTATCACGGCATTGATATGATCCGGTGGGTATCCTATGATATGCCCTATGTGATCAGATTCTTGGCATAGTGAGTAATTGTAACGTACGTCTAACATCTCCCGGTACTGGAAGAACCAGTCCGCCAACAGTCCATTCTCCTCTTGCGCCTGGCCGCCCACCCACTGCAGGTCGTCCCCCAACTTCGACAACGTGAAACACTTCTACTAGCTCCTGTACAAGACCTGAGCGTGCTCTAGCAATAGTTTGACTTAACACAGAGAGCTCCTGAGATTCCTTGGTAAGCGTTTGTGATTGGGGTGGAAGGAGGCGTGCGGCATGAAGTGTGCGTTTACGTTGAGCAATGGTCTCTCGGAGGGTACGGAGGCGGTCGCGCTCTATATCGCTTAGAAAAGTAGATGCGAGCGAGGGTAAGACACGTACTGTTCTCGCAGGCTCTTCTCACATTGGCAAGACTATCTGCTAACTGGTCGAGGCTGTGGTCCGCTCGTGCAATCTCTGCACGAAGGAGGCGACCAGATTCAATAGACTTGAATGCCCGGGATGCGCGAGCAATATGTTCATTTCTGTCCGAGGAAAAATGGTGAGTTTGAAGGCGAAAATCGCGTAAACTGCCAGTGTATGTCAAGCAAGGTCAGCACGGGTTGTGTTTCATGACAAATGTTTTGCCTACTGGTTTCTCAGACAGTTTGCACAATAGTACTGACGTTGTCTCAGCTCGCAGTTCTTACACTCCATCGCATCTTCAGAACCTTCAAGAAGGACAAGTTTGAGGTAAGTACTCAGTGGCGAAGTACTGGATGACGTAAGATTCACTACGTTCAACGATACATCACATGCATCGTGACCTAGTAGGCGTCCTACGAGGCCGATTGAATACTATAGGCAGTGGAGAATCTTTCAAATGCTGTGAGAGAAATCATGGAGATGAGTACTACCATCTAGTAAATCTATATTTCCCCGTTCGTGATATCCACACTTCCTTCACATTGAAGACCGTCGTTGTACATGCTTGCAAAGGTTAGGATGGTACACTGCCTAGCTTTTGCTGATGAAACACCGACTGTAGTTCCTCATAGACTGCGAGATTGCTCAAGACGCAGATGCGGGCCACGCTGGCCCACGCACGATTTACCGAATACATGACGGGCAAAACGGTCTCAGTTGAACGACACTGCGCAGTATTTCAGTTGGTTCTTGGCCAGTGTCCAATCGGCCATCCTGTTCATGCAGCAGCTCGAAGTAGGTGTAACCAGTCCCAGTTACTTTCCCGACAACTGGCATATCAAGTGCATAAGTACTGCAACATTGAAGACGCTTCAGAGTCTCACTCTTCCGCTCACCGTAATTTGAACCCGTATGTCGAATTTTCTTTTTGAACTTAAAGTTCTGATCAATGGGTAGACGCTCATACGAGTAGCGGCAGTAAACGTGGTTGTAGCTCAAGTTGGATCTACGATGGCGGCGCTCTTGTTAGAAAGAGCGTTTGTATTGGGTTACCAGTCATAATGGTCACAATCAAGTACGTTTCCTTCCGCCTTGCGTGTATCAGTGCAGTGGTATTCATTCATGGTTAGCTTTCGCATAGGAGTATTTGGTGTTGCCGCAAACATGCAGTTAGCAGAAGATAACCGAGCAGCAGGCGACGAAGGTGTGGGCAACTATGGTTAGTCTATTTTGCGTCCTTCACATTGCTTTGACTGATGAGTATCCCACAGGCCTGCGCGACCAACGTCATGCTCTGGAATGGGTGAACCGTTTCATCGCAGATTTTGGAGGAGACCCATCTCATGTCACCCTATTCGGACATTCTTCGGGAGCAGCAGACATCGTCGCCCACCTGTACTCCAATGCCAACTTGACTTGCCCCCTATTTGCTCGGGCAATTGTTCAAAGCGCAATCATCGACCACAGTCCTCCAGAACCACATTCAGCTGGATGGCAAATGTCTAGAGCATTGGCTCCGCTGCATGCCTCTTTAGTCGCACAACTTCGTGCTATAAGTCCTAGGGCACTTATTTACGTCAATCTCCCCTTCCGCGCGGTCGACGACGAGGTATTCTTCAGAAAATGATTCAAAGATTTCTTTTTCCTACACTCGAGGTTGGAAGAACCTAACACAAGTCATCTTGACAAAGGTTTGAATCTGCCGCAGTTTGCCATTCGCAAGGCAAAAAGCCCGCACCCAATGAGCGGCTGTCAGCCTGTCGTCCCCCCTAATATTCTGAGTCGAGGAGGGTGCGTCACCCTAGGGCAGCACGCTATTGGCAGGTGCGCACCTATAACTAGGTTAGGTGCGCGGATGTGACTTCCGCGTGAAGGTCTATATGATAAGCTATAATGATCACCGGCAGATATCGATCACCCGTGCCCTTCATCCTCGTGGTGTAATCACTTCAGGAGGGAGTCGCAATGTAAATACCAATACCATTAGGTAGGAAGTTCAGACCAGTGGCGTTGGTATTCTGTGAGACAGAGAGTATCCGTTCTTCCTGCGTGATTGTGTTGGTGATCGAGCCCAATCCAACATCCTTCCACGGCACGTAAACCTGCGCATTTACCAAGTTGGCAACGATGAGCATATATCTAAGGTGAGTGACATTTGATGTTCTTTAAGGCTTTACCATGACTACTAAGGGAGCCTTAGCTGATGAGCATTTCTGTAGAGTGCATGTTTGACAATGATAGCAGCATCATGGGAGATTTGATCTCTGTTGGTGCATTAATACCAAAGTTAGATGACTTTATTGACAGTGACAATGCTATAATTGTTGATCTCAAAACTACTGGAAGAAACAAAGCTAACAAAAAAGAGGCCTGTACCAAACCTACCCCCAAGGACCCAGTATCTCCTACTAGATCAACCATACAGTATAAGGATAAGGGGAGCAAGGTAAAATCTATAGTAGTTGACGCTGATGATGAGTTTTGGGGGACCTTACATAAGTGTCACAAGGACACAGAGCTACTGTCATAATCTGTCACCATAAGTAAGGAGGCACCCTATGCAACTAGCTAAGGTGTGACACTATCTCAGTTGTGGAGTGGTACTCAGATTAACCTACAGTCTACCTAAATTCTGTTATTGGAAAGGATTTAGTCAATTGTAACCATGAGATAGACTGGAATGAAAATAGCAGCTACAGCTAGACTAACAGTGGCGAACATAGCAGCTGCTTAACTATAGAGCATGATAAATAGCCATCACAGCAATATCACTGTTCTTATACATTAGTTGATAACATCTTCAACAAAAAGCATCTAGTATTATATTCTGAGACTCCTATGATAACATTAGCTATGAGGTCACCTTTTGTATTGGCAAAAGCCAGCAGGAACTTGGGTGACTCTATGGACAATTGGTGTCCTTACTCTCATATACAAAAATATGGCCCTTCATCAGGGAAGTGGAGCAGCACTCATGTTGATAGACCTTAGCCTACTCAGGCTGGACATTCTCATAGACTAGGCCGGACCTTTAACCCAGTCTAATTAAGCCCAGGTCCTACCTATGCTGCCAGGTTTTCCTCCAACTATATATAACAACAGTGGTCTCATAGATAGATTATGTTGAAATGCCTGATCCATTCTTCCTATCATGCTATATGTTGATATTACATCTCTAATTGCCTATTCTCTCAAATAACCATACATTTACTATATGATGCTTGAATACTGACCATATTTGATCCCTCATCTATTGTCAGGGAATCTATATCATGATAATTCTTTATATGTACCTATTTTATAAATTCATTGTATTCTAAGTGAGTCTGAGAAACAAGGTCAAACATAGAATGTTGTCTATGTGGCAGATAAGTCCTTTTTGGGATATATGTTCTTTGCTGTATACCACTATGTACAAACTCTCAGTATTCAACAACATCCAAGCTCCAACAGTGGCCTAGTATGCATTTTGGTTGTTATTGATATTAATCATCTGACAATAGGGATCTGAAATATAAGATGAGCAATGCCTATGGAACATGCATAGCTCCTGTATATTATTGTAGATTTAAACCAGTTATAACAGTACAAGTGTAATTAATGTGCTGCATTTTGTGAAAGAAGTCAATGTCGAGTTTAAGAATGACTTCCCAACTCAGTATCTTTGCTAGCAACCTATCATTCTTGGCTTAATCAGCCTGACTCTTGGCAAGCAATTGATTTATTTCTGCTTGATGTTTTTCTCACAACTGCAAGAAGTCAATATGATAATCTTAACCATACCAAGAAAGAACTCACCTACTGTGTTTAGACTTCCTTCTCCTGTCTCTTTTGCTCTGCTTCAATTTCAATATGCACCCATTAAGACTTAAACTTCTGACATACTGCCTCCATACTGCTTAGCTTCTCTATCTTGACCCTAAGATAACAAAAGCACCCACTACTCCATGTTTTCTCAATACCACCTAAGAAAAGGTATTTCACAGCCTAAAACTAATGCTACTCAGAGAGACCTAGAGGAGACAAGAGCAGAGGTTAAATGGAGGGAAGTGAAACTTATTAAGATGCAAAGAACAAGACAAAAGTCTTCAAACTTATCTTGAAAAATATTCAGAGAAACCCAGTCATAAGGTAAGAAAAGAAGCATTATACTGTCAATAGATTCAAGACTCAAATAGGTTGAAGGAGATGCAAAGTCTTATTTGTCTGTTCAGGCTCCAATTCTATTACAGCAATAGGAAGAGTACAACTGCCTACAATCTAAATTGCCTCATAACTCTTAACCATACTCACCAAACAGGAAGCTAACTCAAACACATCTAGAAGAGTCTCATAGAAGTTTCATTCAGAGAATGAACTACTGAGTTCAATGACCTTGGTCAGCAAGTTCAAACTCTGCTTAAGATGAGTCCATATTGAGGGCAGGGACACAGAGAGGTCATCTCCAGCTCTCACAATAATCATCCTAATAGTCTGGATTATAATCACATCATCAATATGCCAATTCAAGGGCTCACAAACAGAATGTCCTATCCCTACATATCTAGTCTTAAATGGAGTATCAGAAAGCATGATAGCATTAGACAAACTCAATGAAACTACAGATTCTGTCATGATAGAAACATCAGAAGAACAAGATCAACAAGCACAATTATATTGAAACATAGATTCATTGGCAATGGACATATTTGACATCCAGCTGCAAAAGAATGAGTCATGGCCAATATATGTCTGACCTATGTAAACAATTAGTAATTAAATATTGATAGCACCAATGAGGAAACAGCAAGAGTTGGCTTTGCTATTTTGTCAGACCAGTAACAGAGGAGGGCATGCAAAGTGTGGTGGTGCTATATGGATTGTATCCAGTATCACTATAGAAGAACTGCAAATATCTCTCTTAATGAACATCAGAAGGTTGGGAAAACACTCTACCAAAATGCAGCACCTGGAGATAGTGAGACATTATACAAAGTTGTAAAGCCAGATATAAATAATTCTGAGGGCAAAAAAGACATGGATACTGGGAGCAAATATGATTCCAACTATGTCCCTCAATGCAATTTCTTCCATCTTAAGAAGGTGGAGATCGTTAACTTGAAGAACAACATCGATACCATACTACTTTCACTACTTATGGAGTCAACATTTTGTAGTTTAGAACTGCATGAGAAATGTTTTATGGTATCATAGGTGCCATAGTTGGTGAGATAAATTTTGCTAATTTAGAATCATCATTTCTAACATTCACCTCAGGTCATCTCAATGCTTATAAACATCGATAGGTATTGCATTATGATGTCAGTGATGGTAACTCCATGTTCCTGGTGTATAATATTCCTGTCAAATCTGCTATCTCTTCATGTCCTGAAAAAGCACCTAAGGAGTGGACCCTTATGAGAGATGGGATGTCATCTAATTGAGGATCTGCTACAGACTGTACAAATCTTGTGGGAGAGGAGCACCTGCTACACATGGTAAGTCACTTTCTGATCTTTTATCTCAATACTGATATAACAGACAGGAGATACTTCCCTTTGAGTTCAATTAATCGATCATTAGAGGACCCATACAGTTCCATCATGACCTACAATCTTACTTCTGGTTGACCTACCTCATTACCTGCAACTGTGCAGGTCCATTCAACATGTGTCATGACTGGGATAGGGAAATGAAGCTTTTTAATCTGTCCAAATCTATTAAACCTTTGGACATCCAACACATGGCTGAGATTAAGACTTACGGAATGTCTAGATAGTGTTGCCACTCAGTAAGGGCGCGGATGATGGCCAAGAGTTCATGATTGAAGATCTGATAGTTTCTTTCAGCTGGATTAAGAGATTGGGAGAGATAAGCACAAGGATGATAGATACTGTTTTTGTTGGTTTGCAGCAGGACTTCACCTGTAGCAACTAAGGAAGCATCTGTGGCAATGGCAAACTATTTAAGTGGATCAGGGTTATGAAGTACCGGATGGGTCGTGAAACAAGTTTGAAGGCAGTCAAACATTTGTTAGCATAGGGGGTTCCAATGGAAAACAACATCTTTCTTTGTTAAGTCAATGAGAGGTTGGGCAATATCAGAATAATGGGCAACAAAGGCTCTATAGAACTTGCAAAATCCAAGGAATGACCAGACTTCTTTGATAGAGATAGGAACAGGCCACTTGTCTATGCCATCGGTTTTTGCTTTATCCATCTCCACGTGTCTGAGTTTAATGACCATGCCCAGATATTCGACTTTATTAGAATCAAAAGTGCACTTTTCTGGTTTCAAAAATCACTTTTCTTCTCTGATTTTCTTCAAAATCCATCTGGTCTGATCATGGTGCTCTTCAAGTGTCTTTAAAAAAATTGAAATGTCGTCCATATATTACCAATCATCCCTCATTGATTTCTGGTCGGAATTTATTGTCCATATACACTTGGAAAGTGGCCAGGGAGTTTCATAGTCCAAAAAACATCACAGTTGGTTCAAAAAGTCTATATTCAGTGGTAAATACAGCCTTCCATCTGTCAGCAGGATGAATATGGATGTTGTTATAACCAGATCTAATATCCATTTTTGTAAAGAAGTTTACACCATGCAATCATTTGATAAGGGATGCTGGAAGTGGAAGGGGATAGA